ACGCCATCCCTCCGCAGCAAAGATCAGAAAAACTAAGTCAAACAGAGTCACACGTCAATCCTGAAACCCTAAGCATCAAATGAAGAGGTAAAGAACTCAGCCAAGCACTGAATGGAATAAGAAACTGACCGAGAACAGAGAGCAAGAAGAGATACATGCAGAGGTCCGCTATTAGCTACCGCAGCATGGATCCGCCATCTTGGATTCCTATCGGAGATCAGCGAACAGGGGGTACGAGAAAGCAGCTTCACGGCACTTCCAGCAGGAGACAGAACAACTAGTAACCAGCAATATAGGCTTTCCTACCCCCCACCCTTCTTCACCCCTACTTAGCCTCCTCTGCTTCCTGCAGCCACAGTTTCTTGGCCAGGAAGTACCAGCTTCACCCTGGTGTCGCTTGGATTCCACCTGCCTGCGCTGGCCGGCTCTCTGAGTGCCTTTTGTTGGCTGCTGGTGTTGCTTTTTTCTGCTTCTTTAGATTTCTTCCTTACCTCTCACCAGCTCCCCCTCCTTTCTCTGAAATACCTGGCTCCAAGCACCATCTTTGCTCCTTTCTGAAAGGCTGCGAAACACTGCTTGACTGTGAAACTGCTTCCTGGCCCGTGCTGCCACACTGATGGGACCCCCGGGGCTTTTTTGTTTGTTTGCTCTGATTTGTGGTGTTTTGATTTGTTTGTTTGTTTTCTTTTTCTTTTCTTGGCTTGGGAGCCCCTTCTAGCCGGGCAGTACCACGCAGCTTGGAAGCTACTTACTCCCTTACTCTGCACAGACGCACAGAGACATTCCTGGGGGCATTTCCTTTTTCTCGGGGTTTTTTGTTTTGTTTTGTTTGTTTCTTTGTTTAGTTTTCTTCTTTCTTATTCCCTTTTTGTCTGTCTTCATTTCCAGTTTCTCCATTTATTATTCATTTTTTTCTTTTACCCTTTTTATTCTTGTTTTTCCCCATTTCTCAGCCTCTCATCTCTCCACTCCAGTAGCAAGCTCCCTTAGCACTCTTTTTAGTTTGTGTGTATGTTTTTGACTCCTGTTCCTCTCTCCTCTCTCTCATCTTTCCCATACCCGTCTTAGCTGCACACATCACAATCTACTCCCTCCTTCCTGCCTACCTACAGTGTGTGCTGAACATCACTCTCCCAAGCAGCACAGGCACGGCCTACTGGAACCTGCCCTGCACTGATTCCCGGTCCACACTGTCAGCCCTGGTACGTGCCACGAACAACCCATCCCAGCAGTGACCCTTCAGCTGGACCTGCCCTGCTGTACCAAACTGAGTGACTGACCCTGCCCATTGGAGAAGGAGGTGAAAAGTGTCATGCCCACAGATGAGCAAACAACAAAGAATGCATAGCCCGCCAGCTCAGACATCACCAAACAGAACAAAAAAGTAGGACAAAACAAAAAAATCTACAGTCAATAAACGAGGAAAATAACCACTAAATGCCCCGAAGACAGCAGACATATCAAACATTTACAAAAACAGGGCAGGATGGTTCCAGCAGGCGTCCAAAATAAAACACCAGATGACCTTCCAGTAGAAAGAAAAGGCACTAGACCTAACTGATAGGGAATTCAAATCTCTAATATTCAGAATTATCTAAGAGTTGAAGCAAAAAGCAGACAAAAATGAGGAAAATACAGACAAATTCTTCGAAAATTCAGACAAACAAAGAATTCAAGAAAATAATACAGGAACAAAATGATAAAATAAATTCACAATTAGAAATCATACAAAAACAACAGTTAGAAATCCAAAAGATAAACAACAAGATTTCAGAAATGGACAGTGTCATAGTAGGGCTGAGGAGCAGGTTTGAAATGATGGAAGATAGAATTAGCGAAGTTGAAGACAAACACTTGGATACAGCTCTGTTTGAGAAAAAAATCAGAAAAAAGAACAAAGAAAAATGAAGAAACCCTGAGACTTATGTGGGATACAATCAAAAGCAAAAATTTGTGAGTGATCGGAGTTCCAGAACGGGGGGAAAACAGAAAACACAGAGAGGATCATTGAAGAATTGCTGACAGAAAACTTCCCCAATATCATGAAAGATGAAAAGCTGACCATCCAAGAAGCTCAACAAACCCCATATAGGATAGACCCCAAAAGAAAATCACCAAGGTATATCATAATCACACTCACTAAAACCAAAGACAAAGAATCCTGAGAGCAACTCGAGGAAAAAAGTCATATACAGAGGAGAAGCAAGACTAAGCTCGGATTATTCAGCAGAAACCATGCAGGCAAGAAGGCAGTGGGATGACGTATATAAAACCTTGAAAGAAAAAAATTGCCAGCCAAGAGTAATATATGCTGCAAAACTCTCGTTCAAATATGATGGTGAAATTAGTTTATTTCCAGATAAACAGAAATTAAGGGACTATGTAAAAACCAAACCAAATTTACAAGACTTATTAAAGGGAGTCCTTCAGTCTGAGAACAAACAACATCAGACCACAGGCTGAATGTAGGATACAGGATTGTACTAGCCAGATATCAACCTAGGAAATGAACTCTTAAGGATTATGCAAAACCAAAAGAATTATAATAGGGAACCAGAGAGATTAATCTGTAAATGACAATAGTATCAGAACAATAAAAGAGGGAATAAACAGTGTAGGTATAGAACCTTCTAATGGAGAGGAAGCCAAGGCAATTCCAAGTTATAATAGACTGGTTCAAATCTAGGAAGACAAGGGTAAATTTCACAGTAACCACAAAGAAAGTTAACAAACCTACTCATGAAAATAAAGAAAAACATAAAAAGTGTCACTAAAAACAAAACCTACAAAAACAAAAGAAATGAAAAAAAATCCACAAACAAAAGGAACTCAGCACAGGAGAGTAAGAGGAATAAAGAAAATGTCAGCACCACAAAAAAAAAAGCACTACAAAATGCAGTCCCACTCCTAGGAATATATCCTAGAGAAATAAGAGCCATCACACAAATAGACGTATGCATACCCATATTCACTGCGGCACTGTTCACAGTAGCAAAAATATGGAAACAACTTAGATGCCCATCAACAGATGAACGGATAAACAAACTGTTCGTACATACACATATGGAGTATTATGCAAAGATAAAGAACAATGATGAATCTGTGAAGCATCTCATAACAAGGATGAAACGAGGACATTATGCTGAGTGAAACAAGTCAATCACAAAAGAACAAATATTGTATGAGACCTCTACTGTAAAAACTCGTAAAAGTTTACACACAAAAAGAAACAGTCTTCGTTGGTTACAAGAGATGGGAGGTGTCGGGGGGAGGACTAAATAGACAATAGATAAGTGGTAATTTGGGTGAAGGGTAAGACAGTACACAACACTGGGGAAACCAGCACGACTTGTACAAGGAAAGGTCATGGAAGCTCCATAGACACTTCCAAATTCCCTGAGGGACTGAACTACTGGGTAGAGTGCTTTGGGGACCGTGGTCTCGGGGATCATCTAGCTCAATTGGCATAACACAGATTATAAAGACAATGTTCTACGTTCTACTTCGGTAAGTAGCATCTGGGGTCTTAAAAGCCTGTGAGCAGCCACCTAAGATACTCCACTGGTCTCACCCCTTCAGGAGCAAGGGAGAATAAAGAGAACAAGACACAAGGAAAAGATTAGTCCGAAGGACTAGTGGACCACAGCTACCACGGCCTCCACCATACTGAGTCCAGTACAGTTAGATGGTCCCTAGCTACCACCACTGACTGCTCTGACTGGGATCACAATAGAGGTTCCTGGATAGAGCTGGAAAAGGATGTAGAACAAAATTCTAACTCCCCAAAATTGACCAGATTTACTGGCCTGGCAGACTGGAGAAACCCCCTGAGTATGGCCCCTGGACACCCTTTTAGGTCAGGGGTGAAGTCACTCCTGAAGTTCACTCTTCAGCTGGGGATTGAACAGCCTCATAAAACAAAACGGGACAGTCCAGGGACAAGGGCTAGAAGGCAGGAGGAGACAGGAAAGCTGGTGATAGGGAACCCAAGGTTGAAAAGGGACAGTGTTGACATGTCATGGGGTTGTTAACCATTGTCATAGAGCAATATGTGTACTGTTTAATGAGAAACTATTTGTTCTGCAAACCTAAGGTACAAAAAAAAAAAAAAAAGAATTATCTATGTGAGATCAAATTGACAACAGCAACTCAAAAGGTTTGATGGGAAGCCTAGGGGACAGTGAGTTGAAGATAATGGTGATGGAATAATTTGGAAAAGGATAGTGAGAATAGCAGCACAACTGGAGGAATGTAATCAATGTCACTGAATTGTACATGTAGAAACTTTTGAAATGGTGTAACTTTGGCTATGTATATTTTCACCAAAAAAAAGGTCCTCAAGGTCGAGAAGGGAGAGTGTTGACATGTCGTGCGGTTGTTAACCAATGTCATAAAACAATATGTGTACCTACTGTTTAATGAGAAACTATTTGTTCTGTAAACCTTCTTCTAAAGTACAATAAAAAAAATTTCTAAAAAAATTGTGGACACTTGACCAGACTTTCTGGACTGGTTGAGACTAGCAGACTCCCGGAGACTATTGTCCTGAGATGCCCCATAAACCTTGAACCAAAACTACCCCTTGTGGTCAGCTTTTAGCTAAATAACAGATTGGCTCATAAAATATAGAATATTACCCATGAGTATTGCGCATCTTTAAAAAACCATCTGTGTGAGACCAAATGGTCAACAGTTACTCAAAAGCAAAGATGAAAGGGTAAGGGGATAGGAAAACCAGATTACTGGGAGTGAAACGTCCAGAATGGAATTAATGAGAATGTTGACACACTGTGAAAAATGTAACCATTGTCACTGAACAATTTGTGTAATAATTGTTAAATGGGCACCTAATTTGCTGTGTAAACTTTCTCCCAAAACAATAAGATATTATTAAATGTTTATATATGGACACTTAAGAGAGAGAGTAGGTCTGACCAGGCGGCTTCACTGGTCAGAAACCCCTTAGTAGCTCCTCATGTCCTTCAAGATCAAGTGTAAGCTCCTTAGCGTGGTGTATAGAGCTCATCACCTGTCCCCTTCTGTACTGTCACCTCTTACCTTTCCACTGTTGGACTTTGCTTTGACACCAGCTCCTCGCTTAGACTCTGTTGCCTTATGCCTCTGAATGTGTTGAATTCAAGGTTCCCTAGAGAAATAGGACACAGGGGACTAGTCTAGGAGTGTTTCTTCTGCTGGAAGTGTCCACCCCCACTTACTCTCTCCTGCCTGCCTTACGCTCTCCTTATTGCTGGCCAAGTCTCCTCATTGTAGGGTTCAGTTCAGGAGTTAATTCCAGTAGGAGGGTTTTTCTGACACCCCCACTCCCCAGAGCCAGCGTGGTTCTGCTGACCCACGTGCTCCCGTGACCGATTCCCTGTCTTCTGCAGAGAATGTAAGAGCACCATGTGTTTCCTCTTTTCTCTCTATCCTAACACGGTGCTGGCACCCAGAAGGTGTGCAGGGCTTTGGGAACACCGCTGTGGGAGTGTTGTGAGGAAAGATCAAAGCAGGGAGACAGAAAGATGAGAGACCACTGAGGATCTAGTCATGCTCGTAGATTCCGAGCCATAGGCCATTTCCTCACACTTCTCTTATTTGTTCAGTCCCTGATTTTAGAGGTGAGACACCAGAGTGCTAAGTAAATTGTCCAAGGACTATGTGAATGTATACTACTTTAAATTTATCGTCTGTGGCGTTAGTCTTATTGACAATCCACTCATTCTTTCTAGGCCTTGGTTTTCTTTTCTGAAAAATGAGGGCTTTGGATCAAATGATCTCCACGGTTCCTTCCATTTATTTATAAGGTTGTGTGATCCTGCTAGCTGGCTGAGGGGATTATGACAGATGTGTGAGGGAGAGGGAGATTGTTGACAAAGACAAACAGTTCTAGGGTCTTTGATCACGTTGCCTTGTTCTTAGTGCTACAATTTCTTATTGATTTAACTTTTTTAAAAAAAAATTACAATAAGTTTCTTACTCAGTTAAGCCAGTGGTTTTGAACTGGAGGCAATTTTGCTTCCCTGGGGGTATTTTGGTTGTTATAATGGGGGGCTGTGCTACTGGCATTTGTTGGGTAGAGGGCAAGAATGCTGCTAAACATCGTGCAGTACACAGGACAGTCCCCCCAGCAGACCTTACCTGGTCCAGAGTGTCCGGGGTACCACGGTCGAGAAACCCTGAGCTGCACCTTTAACCCCCAGTAAGGTTTCAGTACTTTCAAAGCAGAGACTTCCTCGTGTTTCTTGGCACTTCTCTTAGTATTTATGACCTTTCTCATTTGAAAGTATTCTGCGTATGGCAATTAATTATTCCGTCTTTAATTATGTTGAAAAGGAGTGGGCTATTTCATGACTCTCTTTAAAAAGAGACTATTTTTGTTGTTAGGTGCTATCGAATCGGTTCCAACTCTCAGTGACCCTGTGTACAGCAGAACGAAACACTGCCCAGTCCTGCGCCATTCTCTGAGACTATTTAAACAATAATATTAACTATGTAATCGTCCTTTTCAAACAGGGTCACTGCAGTCAACCGTGTGGCTGTATTGAATTAGACTAGACCGCACACACTCCATGTCGCTTTTTTAAATATTAAAAAAAAATTTTTTTTTTAATCAGCAAAAGGTGCTAGTCTTCTAGTCTAGAAGTAGAGCTTCTCTTTACCCCTTAATTCTGGATCCTCAGCAGCAGGTATTACACCTGGTCACCCAGCTCACAGCAGTAGTGAGAGTGGCAGGACAGGTGAGATTCAAAGGTGTCGTGCCAGATCTGCTCTGGTGACCAGCTTCCCCTGGCAGTGTAGTGTGAAGGCAGCACGGAGGAAGGGGATAGAGTGGACTGAACCCCAACACCTACTTCCTGTCCTGCTGCATCCGTGTAACCTGCTGGCAGTTGTGTTATCTTGATAAATCTTTCAAAATGAGCATAGTAGTAGAACCTGCTTTATAGTGTGACTGTGAGCAGTAAGAAAGGTGTGTGTAAAGGGCTTAGCACAGTTCCTGGCACATAGTGTTTGGCAAATGTTGCTGTCAGCATCACCCACATCAGCGGTGTCATCACTGCTGTATTCCTCTTGAGGTAGATGACCAAACCAACCACCTACCACCCGTGTGCGAGCGCTAGCTGATGGGGCCCGCTGTCCTCTGCTCGGGATGCTGCCGAAGGATTCGTCATCACGAGGAGAGATTTCAAGTTACCGTGTCCTGATTTCTGCTATCAGATTGCTTGGGTACAAAGGAACAGAAATTAAAGAACCATTTAGGACATGTACTTTTCCATCCTTTTGTTCTTTGTTTGCCTTAGTATACTGCATGTAATTGCGGATATCCTGATACACCAAGCGGTTTTTTTTTTCCTTTTTGAGTATTTATTGAAAGAAATTTGGTTTACATAATATTTCTTGCCCCACCTCTGCAAGGTTTTTCTGATTTTAAGCTTTCTTCGTAATATCCTGGCAAAATCTATCCTGCTTGTGACAAAATAGGTAAGTTCATGAAGAAACAACAAGTTTATGGAGAAAACAACACATTTTTAGCTCTGTATAATTTTAGGGTATTATTTGTTGTCATTAGAGGAAATTTATCTTAATGAATCTGATACATTGACTACTGTGTGCTAGTCACAAAGGGTAGTTCTCGAGAATTGCTTTTGACCAGAAGTTTGCAGTTGCGTAGGTACACAGCTGCTCCCCCGTGTGGTTGTTGATCAAAAGAGCTGTCAAGCTTGGATTAAGAACACAACGCCATTGCGTATTGTGACAAGTTAGCATCATTCCTGAGTAGCAAGAATTAAGCTTTAGATCTAGCATTATATCTGGTGCGTCAGACCCTAATTGTGAGATAACATAATGTAAGTACATTATGGTATTTCTAACCCATTTCTGTGATGCAGAACTCCTACCTGTACATGCCCAGCTGTGCTGTGGCGGACTGGAAGTTTGGGCTTCAGTCCTCCAGTCAGAAGGACAGATGGAGAGCTAGAGAGGGCGTAGGAAGGAAAATGTGGTGAAAAGTGGGAGATTCTGGTGTTCTTCTCTTTTCCCCATATCATCAGTAAATGAAACCAGAATGCTATTCCATATATAGTTTCTTTATCTGGTTTCATGTTAACTAAAAATGTGTATTTATGAGATGGCTGAGCAGGGTTAGGGATGTAAGCAATGATTGTGTAGTAGTTTCTCTGAATTTGCTTCTAAACAAGAGACATCTGTCTCTTTCCCATGCTTTCATCTGAGTTAGTCCTTATGGGGGCAAACTTATGTTTGCATCTGGATTTTTGGGGGGAGGTGAGGTAGAGGTGGGATTCTAGCAGACAGAGCTTGATGATAATTTGACACTGAGTTCTTGGCCCGACTAAGAGGACTGTGATGCAGTGATAATCTGTCGTTTATATCTCTCTAAAACTTGTACCTACCGTAGTTACGTCAACCAGGAGTTTGAACTTTTAAATCTTAACGTTACTTAAGGGAAAACATTAGTAAGGATTGACTATACTAGCTTTGAGTTGATTGCTCATTGTTATATAGTTTCATGTGTAAGAATAGGTACTGTGTTATTCAGGCATCTCCATGAGTACAGATGAGGAGAAGTGGGGATGCTGTCATTCACTAGCACGTGCTATTAGTGGGCTGCACCGCATGTGGGGCTGAGGAGGAGTGTAAGGCGTAGGCTTTGCCAGCTAGGAGGCTTCCAGTCCAGTGGGGAGAAATGTCGTTACAGGGTAAACAGGAAGCAGAAAGGACTAAGAGTTTCAGTTGCACGATGTGTGAAAGGAGGTAGAAGTCAGAGTAGGATGGGTTTGCCAGAGGAACTAGAACTTCAGATGAAAAGATTTAGAGGGACAAAAAGGGGAGGGAAACATATTTTTAAAGGTGTGCTTAGGAAATAGCTCAGGAATGCACTGGGTCACATGATCAAGATGATGAAAATGGCCCTTTACCTCTGATCTTTCTTCCCAAAACCCATAATCTCAGTCTAAGCATGACAAAAATATCAGACAAATTCCAGTAGAAGGGGATCCTAAAGATACCTGACCAGCACGCATTAAAACTATCAAGGTCATCAAAAACAAGGAAAGTAAGAAACTGTCACAGCCAAGCAGAGCCTAAGGAGACATGACAAGTAGATGTAATGTGGTGTCCCGGATGGGATCCTAGAACAGAAAATGCCGTGGGGTAAAAATAAGGAAATCTGAATGAGCTATGGACTTTAGTTAATAATGATGTATCAATATTGGTTCCTTAATTGTAACAACTATACCATACTAATAAAACATGTAAATAATAGTGGAAACTAGGTTTGGAGTATATTGTAGCTCTGTAGTAGCTTCTCAAATCTAAAGCTTCTAAAAATATTTTTTCAAAAAAAGTCTGTGAAGGAGACAAGCACATTCAAAAATTTACTGATGAAATTATAAATTGACACAACTTCTGGGGAGCACAATTTGGGTACATCTGGCAAATTTGTTGCTGTGCCTTCCCTTTGACCCAGCAATTCCATTTGTCCTATCAATACACTCTTACATAAATTGAAAAATGTATAAGGTTATTCATGGTGTCATAGTTCGTAATAGCCAAAGATTGGAAACAACACAAATGTCCATTTAGGGGACTGATTAAATAAATTATAATATATCCACACAGTGGAATACTATGCAGCCATTATAAAAGAACAAAGACATTTCATGTAGAAAGATGTCTAAAGTATATTAAGGAAAAAAGCAAAGTAGTGTATAAAAGGATGTGTATATTATGCTACCATTTGTGTAAGAAAAGAGGGAAAAGATAGATAAAAATTTTATGCCTGTATATGCATAAATATCTGTGGAAATATACACAAGAATTGATTACATTAGTTGTTTCTGAAGTGAGCTACTGGGTTGCTAGAGTATAGAAATATGAGAGAGATTTCAATGAAAACCTTTTTATCCATAGAGATTTACTTATAAATAAATTCTAAAGTATAAAAAGAAAACACCTTGCAGGTAAAACAGAAAGAAATGTCAAGTTTTATCAAGTACTTTTAGAGCAACTGCAATAATCATTAGATAATTTTTTTAACCTGTTAATATGATTAATTGTAATGCTGAAGTTACTAATACTGAATTTTCATGATGTGACTCCTATTTAGTCATTCATTTAATGTCTTGCTGGTTTTCTGTTTTAAAATTTTGCATTAATAGGTCATAACTGAGATTCATTTATAGTGGGAGTTTTTGTTTGGCTGGTTATCTTTGACAGATTTTGATTATGCATATTATTGAAGCATTATAAAAGAATTGGGAAGATTCCCCACCCCTTACTCCACCCCTGGCCCCTCTGGAAGGACAAGCTAAATTGAAATGCCCTCAGTAATCTTTGTATATAAGTGTCTTAGGCTGGGTTCTCTAGAGGAGCAAAACCAGTGAAGCATATGTATATATGTACATATGTATAGAGAGATTTATCTCAAGGAAATGGCTCATGCAGTTGTGGAGGCTGACAAGTCCCTAATCCATGGGTCAGACAACAGGCTGGAGGCTTCTCCTGACTCACCTGCTTGCAGGGGCTGACGAACCCAAAATCCACAGGTTAGGCAGCAGGCTGCTGGCTAATGTCCTGAGAACCAGAGGTCAGAGGATGACGAGTTGGATGTAGGATTGAGAGATGGCAAGCTTTGCCAGAAAGTCTGTATGTATTGGATGCAGGCCACATCTCCAAGGAAACTCTCCTTCTGATTGGCTGTTCACATTAGATCACAAGACAGAGGATGATTCCATAATATCTGCCAAACTACTGAGAATCATGGTCTAGCCAAGTTGACACATAACCTTAACCATCACAATGAGTAATTTTAGTTTTACCCACAGGAAGAAGAAGGAACCACTTGCAAAACACAAAAAACTTCCTGGCTGCAGGATTGTGTTTTATCCTTATCTCCAACCAATGATCTTATGGTTATAGCTCGAGAGCAAAAAGCTGTATTTCTTGTGCGTAAGTACCCTTTTTATTCAGTGGCCTTTATTTTAGTGCGTGTAAGAGAATAGAAAATGGATTTGGAAGAAAGGCAAATGTTATTTCTAGTATATGCGTTGTATGGTGGTGACGTCCTATAATTTATTTTACATATTGTACAGTGCTTTTTATTTTTGTTACTTTTTTTATGTTTCTCCTTTTTTTTTTTTTTTTTGAATTCTTTTTGTTTCCTCTCTTTTTCTTTTTTGGCTGCAGATTCCATAGCTATCACTCTATGGCATTTCAGAGGCAGTACTGGGCATTGCCCAATTCTTGCAAGGGGCAGTCAGAGCTAAAGAGGTCACTGACCCCTTCTTAGTAATAATGTGAGTAAGGTGATTTTCAACTATCATTTGAAAACTCCTAATGTTGTATGCCTCTATTTTGGACATAAGTTTGCAACTCAATTTTTGTTGAAGATGTATGTTAAGGTTTGAGGATGAGTATGATATGAAAAACTTCCCTAATCAAAATATAAAATCATATGTAAAATGACTGTAGAATAGTCTTCTAAAGCAAATTTACTCTCTAGGAGCACACATCTAATGGAAAATTTTTCTGTTATTTGAGGATAAAAGTAGCCTTAAAATAGATGGGGTAGTACACGGAAATTATTCTGCAAAAACTGGGACAAGATTATATGAGTTTAATTGGAGAAGAGAGAGAATAAAGTTAGACTAGGTAGAGTTTTCTAAAAACCTTACAAAAAAATTTAAAACGTTTTACATTCACCTATAAAAAAGACTGAGGTCAGTTAATGCAGATCTATTAAATTTGGTACTCATTCTTCTGAGCGAAAAGAGTGAAATTCATAAATTACTGCTTTAGTATATTATAGTTAAAGTAATTGAAATATCTTGATCTTTTTCAGCAAAATGGAAGCATAATGATAAAGGAAAGGAAGAAATGCAGTTTGCTGTTGGTTGGAGTGGTTCTTTAAATGTTGAAGAAGGGTAGGTACCAGTTAATTCTCTGTTTCTCTGTGCATTAAATGTATATGTGAAATGGATGACTAAAAGTGAATGTATTAAGAAGGTTTCATAATTTAGTGTTTAGTAAATGTATATTTATTCAAGTTTTAGGGATTGTTGTTGTTGTTGTTGGATGCTGTCAAGTTGGCTCCAACTCATGGTGACCTCGTGTGCTGAGCAGAACTGCTCCATAGGATTTTCAAGGCTGTGACCTTTTGGAAGCAGATTGCCAGTCCTTTAGAGATGCCCCTGGGGGGGCTCGAACTGCCAACCTTTTGGTTAGCAGCACCACCCAGGGACTCCTAGGAATTGTGGAATTTATATAAAAGCATGATCTGGTCAGAAAACTTTAGTTTTATTCATTATGCGATTACTTAAAAAAAAATTAATTCTGTTTGAAGAAGATTTGAAGAGCACTTTGGAGAGAATCCTGTAAATTCTTTTTTCACTGTTTAGTCCTTCCCTTCTGTTTTCTGTTACTGATTTTATCCAGCCAGAAAGTCAAGGGCAGTCGTTGGCTTCTCTGCTGTGCTAGCATTGGACTTCTGCTTCAAGGGGACAGTGCTGTATTAATTCTTAAAACTTAGAAATAGTTCAGAAGTGTAAGACGGTTAATTCTAGTTTCCTACTAACTCAGTGAGCGTTTCAAGATTTTGGTCTCTAACGTGGTTACGTGATGGAGCAGCTAACCTGAAACCCTGAGCCAAAAACTGTTGTCAGTTAAATTTTTATGACTGAAAGCTCTCTGATCAAAGATGATCGTAAAGACTTGGAAGAAGTACAGCCGGAATACTCCCTAGAAGCGAGGATGGCCAAGACTACATCTCACATACTTTGGACACGTTATCAGGAGGGGTTAGTCCCTGGAGAAGGACATCACGCTTGGTAAAGTAAAGGGTCAGCGAGAAAGAGGAAGACCCTCAATGAGATGGATTGACACAGTGGCTGCAACAGTGGGCTCAAGCATCACAACAATTGTGAGGATGGCACAGGACCGGGCAGTGTTTCGTTCTGTTGTAAATTGGGCCACTGTGAGCTGGAACTGATTTGACGGCACCTAACAACAACAGACTTCGAATTCAGATAAAAGGCAACCAACTGGAAGTACCTAGTGCATGCCTACACACTGTAAATGTTCAGTGAAATGTTTTCTGCTACTATTATTAAAAGCCATTATATTGTTTCTCCTTAAGCTATTTTGTCTAAGCATTTTGAAGACATTTGATTTCTGTCAGAAATACAGAGCAGAACATAATGGCCTGATTACTTTAAAAACAAATGAACAAAAAGATTAACTTTGTTCAGTGATCATCTAGTGGTATCTGGGGCAGGTGTATGTATAGTTTGTTGAGTAAGCTGGTGCTGATCATGGAGTTTGATAGCTTAAAAGTCAGTCTTCATGTCAGGAAGAAATCTTTTTTAGGGAGCGTCAGACCTAGCATGTGCTTAGAAATAGGTTATCAGGAGCAATTTCTGCAAAATTTAGAAGAGACTAGCCAGTTGAAATACATCAAGTCGCTATTATAAAGTACCTGGCAGAAATGCAATTTGCATGTAATGTGATTGGCAGTTCCTCCCACCCTGTGGCTAGCCCCTGGTCTCAAACAGGATGAGGAGGAGGGTTGTTGTTGTTAGGTGTCGTTGAGTCGGTTCTGACAGAGTAGGACAGAGTAGAATTGCCCCATACGGTGTCCAAGGAGTGGCTGGTGGATTCGAACTGTTGACCTTTTGGTTAGCATCCGTAGCTCACAACCACTGTGCCACCAGGGCTCCAGTAAGGAGGAGGAGGGGGATGTTAAGACATGACTGCCTGGTAAGCATTTGAGATTTTCTGAGTTCTTTGTATGATCAGTTGTGTACAGGAAAGTTTTGTCTTATTTTTTCCTTTTTGTGACAATATAAACAAGGTGAAAAATACCATTTTTTATTCATCTCAAATGAATGTGACTTTACATTTTATGTGAGTGAATTTTATGAACTCTGCTTATAGTGGACTTTTACTGTGTTTTTACTTAGGTTCTGAATAAAGCTGATCCACAAGGTCATCTTCTACTTAGTGCCATTTAACATCAGATTATAGAGAAATAGAAGTAATTGGTAATCTCATTGACCAAGCATATACTTTATTTTTGGTTTTAGGGAATGTGTAACCAGTGCTCTGTGTATTCCACTGGCAAGCCAAAAGAGGTAAGGATGAATAAGAATTATCTGTTCTCTTTGCTTTGACATATGAGCTGCTGAGGTCTGTGGCATTTTGTTTGTAACAGGAGTTCCACTGGACGACCTGATTGGACCTGCATTGTGGTGGGCTTTACTTCAGGTTATGTACGCTTCTACACTGAGGTGAGTTGAGTTTTCAACAGCTGGAAAACAGCAGTTGGCTGTAGTAACCATTTATGCATTCCCCATTATTCTAGTTTGTGACTTCATTATCTGCTGCTTGGAAATGTGTAGTTGATGCTTTATAGGGGTATAGTTTAGGGAATAGAGGCAGTGAAAGTTACCATAGACGATGCAGAGAAGCTGTGTCCTTCTGAAGAGAATGCTGATAATGCATGGAGAAATAAGAGGGGAAATGATATTCTCTGGTCGCACCCATTGAGGGCTCTTCTCTCTGCTTCCTCCTAGAATGGTGTGCTTTTGCTTGCACAGCTTTTGAACGAGGACCCAGTGCTCCAGCTCAAATGCAGGACCTATGAGATCCCACGGCACCCTGGTGTGACTGAGCAGGTAGTGTGAAAGATCGTGCTCAAACCAGCAGGGACATGTGGTTTCTCCCCTCTTGATTGGGAGGGGGAATTAAAGTTATCTTTGTCTTGGGGCGCCATTAGCTGTGCTGTCATATTCTAGAAACATAACCTGTGAATACTGAGAAAAGAATACCAGTCTTGCTTTTACTTATTTAAGAAATATTGTGTGGTTTATTCTACAGTAACATAAAATACTTTGGTCAAATGCCAAAGTCTCCCATTTTTAGAGCTTAATAGCAACTTAAGACAAAAAGATGGTATTATATAACTATCTTTTTTTCATTTGGATGTAGATGTCAGAGTTACCCATAGTAAAAGAAGAAGATTCTGGTTTTATTTATTAGTAGCAGTACTACTACATTGTACTTACCTATTTCTCAGAAAAGAGGTGGTTAAATTTTTGTTAACAGTGGAATATATTCTATAATTGTTGAAGATTTTGACTGAGAAAATAATGCGATTTCATTTAATGATGGTATTTATCTACGGCTCTCCACAGGTACAGTTTCTGCTTCTTCCTAGGCGCTCTGTGATATTCTGGGTGTCTCCCAGTCAGAAGTTAATTGTACAGCCCATTGAACTAATGTGCTTTTATTTGACTTGCAGTGTACATAGTCAAAACGATGTAACAGCATTCCTTCTCTGTACTACCCTGCTTCCCAAAGATTTCAAGTATCTAAATTCCACTGGGGAGGTGATATTTGAATTAAGCCTTGAATAATGGGTACAGAATTTAATTAGTTGATGAGAGAAGAGGGGAAAGTATGTTAGGCAACCAGGAGAAAACTGAGGGAAGGTTCATATGTAGGGCTGTGTATGAAACGACAGGGAAACCAGTGTGAGCAAATAATGAGAAACTGTTGACTAGGCAGAGTGGCCTAACTACATGAATTTGAAAGCCAAGTAAATATCAGATTTGATTCTGGGAGATAAAAGATGCTTTTAAAGATTTATTGAGAAGGAAGTGATGTAGCAAAGTGGTGATACAAGTGATATTGAGGGAATCTTCAGGATGAGTTGGAGTTATGAGAGACTAGAATCAAGGAGGCTAGTATTTTGGTCTTTGAAGTTGTCTGTAATAGACATGAAGTGTTGGAAGCTAGGACTAGACTTAGTGTAGAAGAAAGAACCAGTACAGAGAACACTTTGAAGGAAGAATTAATAGGACATGATTATTGTCTAGAGATGTAGAGTATTAAAAAGAGAGATACAGGCAGTCCCTGGGTTAGGAATGAGATCCCTTCCTAAGTGTGTCTTCTAAGAATTTGTAGGTAAGTTGGAACAGGTGCCTACTGCGTTCGTATTTTGCCTTAGGTGCAAGACAAGGTGGGAAGCCTTTTCAGTTACCTAAAACTGCACGAGCAGCAGGTGAAGGTGATTGTGATGAAGAATTTGTTGCTAGTAGGGGTTGGTTCAGTCGTTTCAAAGTGAGGGCAAATTTACATAACATTAAAGGGCAAGTAGGAGTTGTTGTAAGTCAGAAGTAACCCGGGATACTTGTAAGTCTAAGATGGCTCTGAGGTACCTGTCCTGGGCAGTGCCTTTGACAAAGCTGGAAGGGGGGCTGATAAAATTTGGTTTTAGACATGTTGAGTTTGAGGCAGTGGTTGGAAGTAAAAGGAAAACACCAATATTTATTTATAAATATTTATTTACTGTCTGTTATGTACCTGGCCCAGTTGTAATCACTGAGGATTCACTGGTTAACAAAACAGACAAGGTCCCTGCTATCATGGAGCTTACGGTTTGGAGGTGGTGGAGGAGGGAAACCAACAATGTAAACCACCAGAGATACCAGGATGACTGAAGTCAGATAGGTGCTGTGGAGGAAGTAATCGTGGTGGTAATACAGTGACATGGCAAGAGAGTGGCGATGCCGTTTGAGACAGAGGCTCAGGATCGGCCTCGGAGTAAGTGACATTTGAGCTGAGACCTTCGTGATGAGAAGAACCAGGCAGGTGAAGATCTGGGAGGAGAAGGTCCAGGCCCATGCAGAGGACTGAGGCGATGATGAGCTTCCCATTCAGGGAGCAAAGGGAAAGAGAAGTGCAATGACATTAGATCTTGCAGGCGTGGTTAAAGAGCTCAGGCGTTATGGTAAGCGCAGAAGAAAGCCACTGGAGAGTTTTAATCAGGAGAGTGATATGATCTGTGACGGCTCACAAAGATCACACAGGCTGTGTGGAGCATGGGTTGTAGAGCACAGAAATGGAAGCAGGAGACCAGACTCAATGTCCAGCAGTAAGAGCTGGCTAAGTCAATTTTGGTGGCTATAATGGAACTTTACAGCCATGACAAAGATGATTTGTTTATTGAAATACAGAAATACCTTTGAGTAATAAAAATGCTATGTATTGACATATTATTGAGAAATAAATGTTCTAAAATATTGTGTGTATTTCACGGGAAAATGTATGAATATTTGTGAGGATATACACTGAGTCGCGTCTGGGATTTCAGGTGAGGTTTTTCTCCTTCTTTCTACTTTCGATATTGTTTGTGTCTCCGCAATGAGTATGTTTCATTTTTATGAAATCTGTAAATTTTTTTTATTACTCTCACCTGAAGGCATTATTCACCAGGTACAAAAGCTCATATTTGAGAAGAATTCCAAGTCCTTGGCTGAAAGGCATTCTGAAATTAATTTCCCACGTTTTACTGGTCTTCTCCCTGGAATTTTTTTGTATCGGTAGTTGACAGTTTAGTCATAGAATTTTTTATTTTCATTATTTGTGACATTCAGCCATTAGTAAAAAACAGATATTCTGGTTTGTTTGGCAGCCATGAAAATCATTATTTTCTTCTTTATTATTTCTTGAATAGAATGAAGAGTTGAGTATTTTATATCCAGCTGCCATTGTGACTATTGATGGATTTAGCCTTTTTCAGTCTCTTCGTGCTTGTCGAAATCAGGTTGCAAAAGGTAATTTTTTACCAAGAAGTATTTAACTTTTGATGTTTGTTTTACTTATTTTTTAGCCTGTTAACAGAATTAAACTTGTCTTCAAAATAAAAGGCTTTCTGAACTAGGTTTAAAAAGGGGAAAAAACAAAAAACCCCTGCTGCTGTAGATAGAGGAGCGCGGTGTTGGGTGATTAATCAGTAAGATAAAGGCAAAGGCTGAAACATCAGGGCTCTTCAGGTGTGGCCGACACAACACGGGACAGCAGGGCTTCCTCACTAACTCAGCAAAGAGTCTTAGCCAGTCACGAGAGAGACTGGCACCTATACTGAGAATCAGCCTTGGGTGAGGAATTTCGTTGCAGTTAGCTGATGAACTGTATTTCTTACCAGATCAGCAGCTACAGGGCCAGTGCAGTAAAAGCTTGGGGCTGTACGTTGCTCCTGTTCTTACCGAGGGTGAAGACACCACTGGGTGCAAGGGGCATTTTCCCTCAGCAGGCAAGGCACAATAGGGAGTCAACATCAGCTGCTTCTGCTAACGTGGAACACGTCTGAATGAAGAAAACTCAGAGGCACAAACTTAACGTTTATTAAATGGCAATTACATTACTTCCAGATTGGAGGATGAAAAAACGCACAAATAATCAAAACTTCTTAAATTTGCTACCCATCATTTTCATTCTGCTGCTGTAATATGTTTGGGAGAAGACACTGTATTTCATCAAATCCAAGACGCATGGACTGTAAGATGCACCCTTATTTTTTGTACCACTAAAGCAAAAATGCCAGTGAAAGACATGCTATCCATTTGAAGACCTCAATTATAGAGACATTCAAATATGAAAAAGAAAAGGGCCTACAATCGGTGAAAATACAGAGCTAGCACTGACTTCCCCTTTTCTTCTGGGTTGGGTTAAAGGGGCCTTAGTGGCCCTTAAAAAAAATACTGTTAATAATGACATTTAACTTTAAAATGGTTGAGACAACTCTCTGAAAACACAGGTTAGTTAAGATCTGTTTGCTGATCCATAAAGCTTCTTTATAAGCCCAGAACTGAACTACAAGAAACAAAATAAGCAGTTTCTTCTAGGGGAAAAGTGCAGCATCTGACATTGTGACACATTTTCACTGTCCTTTTTAGCAGGTTGATCTGATTGTAAAACTCTGAAGTCATGTGTATGCAGTTCTTTAATAGCGTGTGCTTTTCTGTTAGGTCAGACTCTGTTGGAATTTTTAATACCTATTTTTACTAATCTTTATGTCCAAAGAGTGGCAGTTTTCTATAGGTAAGATTTCTAATAAACTAGAAATAGATAATTATGTTAAAGTTGATACTGTCAGCCATTTCATTTTTTACCACTTGTGAATTTCTGTTTATTTTCTTATGTATGAGACTGTTATATATAAGCAATTTTGTCTTCTAGGAAGTAAGAAATTAAGTCACCTTAATGCCTTCTTATTTTAAGTTGTTCTAAAAAGAACTCTGATGACTTAGCCACAAATTGTTGTGACATTTGATTCAGTGTATAGGGAGATCCTCTTTTCTTGGCCTTACTATAAAACCTGTAGTGTTTAGAGGATTATAATTTTCCTTATTGAAGTATTTTTCTTCACTTTCCAGAATAAACAGTTAAAATTCAGCCGTATTCAAATCTTTAGCATGGGGATGTGTACTGGTAAATGGGATCTTCTGCATGAACCTAACACAAGAGGTGTAACTCTGTAATTTCCTTTCGTTACTTGGTGGAGGTAGTGATGTTAACTATTATTTTATTTTTTCTTGGCCTCAGTTATCTAGATTAGAGATCTTGCTGTGTGTGCACCTGCCAGGCATATCACGTTTTGAGTAAGGCACTGGTTACTGTGCTGAGATTTTACCCACTGTCTTTCTCAAGGAGGAGGAATTCCTTAGTTGGCATCAGTTGCAGTTTGAGTTCACCTTGATTTTTAGAAGTAGTCTAGGATTTTTAATATGTTTTTCTCTAATTACTTGAGTATTCTAGACTCTTTTGTAACAGGCAACTTAATCTTCTTTCAATGTTTCCGTTTTCTGTGCATTGTCTTGAAATGAGTAAATCTCACGGTCTGACTTGTGTGTATTACTTTTCCTCATTATGATTAGTTGATACTTTCTAGAATAATAAATGAAGCTACTACATTTTTAATGATTTTATGTGAAACTTCATTTTATCTTAAGTTTGAATTGTCTAATTTTTATGTTTGACAGCTGCAGCATTGGGCAATGAGAACATACAACCACCACCATTAGCTTACAAGAAATGGGGTCTACAAGATATTGACACTATTATCGATCATGCTAGTATTGGTAAGCATTACTAGTTCAAATTCTCTTGGAAGTCACTTTTTATACTTTTTGATTAAAGTGTCTCATTTTTTAGAAATGTACTTTTTTTTGTGAAAAGGATATTTTTGCTAAAGGCAATACATATGAGACATTCAGAAGTTAATTCAGACATAACAAATCAGCATAGGTGTATGTCTTTAGGAAATGATAACAGTTTTAATGAAGGTTGGATTACAGCCCTCAGCATCAAGATTATACAGTTTCAAGTCATTCATTATTTGACTTAGGTTTCCTGCAGATAGGTCTGATCTGTATGATTACCACATAGATCGCTCTCTTAAAAATGTAACCTTCGACCAGCAGAAGATAAATAAAAACAGGTTTCTTCTTGCAGCCGATCCTCTAGGGCTTACTTTGTTTGGCATCAAGAATACAGACATGGTCTCTGCCATCAGGAAGCACAAGTCTAGTTGGAAGAAACCCATGAAAAGAGTTTCAGAACTGCAGCATCACTTATTGCTGTGTTAGAGAAGTAGACCGAGGATAGTGGGAGCAGAGGAGAGGCCTTAGCGCTGTGAACGTCAGGGAAGAGGAGGTTAACCAAGAGAACAGGCACAGAGAAGGGCATTCTAGCCAACGTGATTTAGGCATGGGGGTGAGAATGCATTGTGTGCTGGAGAAGCTTAGGGTGCGAAGGAGAACTGGCAAGAGGTGAGGCCAAATATGTAAGTAGGAGTCAGATTTTGAAGCGCCTAATGTGCTATGCAGAGGCCACTGGTGGTTCAGTGATAGGATTTTAGCCTTCCATGCGGGAGACCCAAGTTAGATTCCCGGCAAATGTACCTCAAGCACAGCTACCACTTGTCTGTCGGTGGAGGCTTGCCTGTTGCTATGATGCTGAGCAGGTTTCAGTGAAGTTTGCAGACTAAGACAGACTGGAAAGAAAGGCCTGCTGATCTCCTTCTGAAAATCAGCCAGTGAAAACCCAGTGGATCACCATGGTCCGATCCCCTGTGCGTGGGGACCATGAATTGAGGCCGACTTGATGGCAGCTCACAACAGCAACCGAGTGCTGTGCAGACAAATCTCAGTCCTTCTCTTAGCCACAGTGGGAGCCACTGAAGAGTTCTGAGCAAGGGGATGATATTATCGGTGTTCTTCTTAGAAAAACCACTTTGGTAGCAGTTCAGAGGCCGGAATACAGTGGGCCAGACTAGCTACTGGGTCCAGTAAGGAGGCTGTGATTGTCTTGATCAGAAATAATGGGCTTCTGAATTAAGGCAGTGGAAATGGGGGTGGAGAAGAAGGAAATAGTGTTGGGGGGGGCTTTTAAAATATATATATATATATATTTTTTTTTTTCTGTTTATCAATATAGTATATGCTTGAAAAAATTTCAAGTTTTATATAAAGAGAAAAGGAAAAAAATTCCCTTAAATCCTACTCATCAGAGATACTCACCATTCACATTTTGGTGAGCATCCTTGCAGACTTTCTGGTCTGTGTGTAGGTACCATACATATAGTCACAGAGAGAGGCGTTCATAAGTAGGATTTTATTATACCAGCTACGTCATAGCACTTTTCTAATCTGGATATCAGGAAAGGCCTTTACGTCAGTTTTGCTAAATAATACATCGTATCTGTTAAGTCCTGATGGGAAACATACGGCACACTTGACACAGGACCGTTGAAAGAGGTGTGTTCACAGAGAAACTGTTTATAAAGATGGGCTATAGGGGAACCACAAGGGATGGAAGCCAGGCTGTTAACTGCTCGTAGGCCTCACGGGAGGGGGGGGGAGCCTCCTCAGAAACTGGAGATGAGTGGAGTGAGTGCCTTGAGAGCAGCAATGACTTTTGTTCAAGAGTCACAGCCAGCTTTTCAGGAAAGGAGCCTGGGAAATGGAGAACTTCACTCTCCTTTCGATCTACCGATGTGACTTCCCATTTTCTGAACCCAGCTGGAAGCCAGAGGGCATGAGAGCCGTTTGGTGTGATCGATACAGATTGGCTCCTGGGAGAGAGCAGGGAGACAAGGGAGGAGTGTGAATCTAGGGAGCAGCCAGAAGGTACCTGACCACAGAGCATCTTGTTCACTGACTGTGTAGTTTTTGCATGGAATACTCTGTAGTTAATAAACACTGCACTGGTTGACATTTAGTTTGTCTTCGCTTTTTCCTAACCTAAAATGTTACAATATTCCAGAGTGTTGAGTTCAGTTCAGGGCCGCTTCCCTGTCCTGGTAATTAAACTCTGGGACATTGAAAGTGGCTAGGGAAAATGACTGGATAGAAAATGTTACTCTATTCATTTTTCTCCCAGCCTACAGAATGCTTTTTAAAAAAGTAGAATAGACATTATTGTATATACATCTTTCTGTAAAGGTGTGATTAATTCATTCAACAAGTAAATGATACCTGTTAAGTCCCAGGCACGAATAACTAACGTTGGTGCTGGGGTACAAGACAGGCAGGACCTCTGCCCTGATGAAGCTTCCATTCGGGTGATGGGGAGACAAACGATGCACAGTTAAACCAGATGAATCAATATGGTAACGTCAGAATGTTAGTAAGTATCATGAAGAAAACAAGCAGAGGGTTATGGTAGAGAGTAAAGGAAGCGGGTGCTTTAGATAGATTGAGGAAAGGGTGAAAAAACGGGACAAGGTAAGGTTGGAAGTGTAGACGAGTCAGATCACATGGGGCAAGGAGTTCACATTTTATTCTAAACGCGGTGGCAGTCGTTGATGTGTTCCAAGTGTTGGTGGTGGTGGCGTCAGGTGCCATCGAGTTGATTCTTACTCAGCAATCCGATGTGACAGGATAGAACTGCCCATAGGGTTTTCTAGGCTGTAATCTTTATGGAAAGGAGCTCTGGTGGTGCAGCGGTTAAGCACTTAGCTGTTTCTTGAAAGGTTGGTGGTTCAAACTCGCCCAGCAGCTCCATAGGAGAAAGACCTGGTGATCTGCTCTTGTAAAGATCACAGCCTAGAACCCTATGGGGCCGTTCTACTATGTCACATGGGGCCGCTGTAAGTCAGAAGTCTACTCGATGGCACCTAACAACAGCAGTCATTACAGGAGCAGGATCACCAGGTCCTTCTGCAGAGTGGCTGGGGGTGGGTTCAAACTGCCAACATTTAAGTTAGCAGCCGAGTGCTTACCCAATTGCGCCACCAGAGCTCCGTGTGTTCTAAGTAGGGTTTACATTTTTAAAATATCCCTCTGGCTGCTGTTTAAAGATGGACTTTTAGGTGAAAAGATGGAAGCAAGGAGACCAGTTAGGAGTATATTGCAATAATTCTGGTGAGAGACGATGATGACTTTTTGAGGTAATGGAGTTAGAGAGAGGAGGATGACTGAGATATACTTTGCACTTGCTAATAGGTAGGTTTGAGAAATAAGGGGAAGGAAAGAATTAAGAACTCCTCAGTTTTAAGTTTGACTGAGTAGATGATCAGAATATTTACTGAAGTGAGAACAAGGAGGAAGAGGTTTGAGGTAGACAAATTGTGGTTTTTTGCAGGCTAACTTCTGACACTATTATGCATTCATATTGGAGGTGTCAGATAGAAAGATAAACAGGTCTGAAGCTCAGGGAAAAAGCTGGAACTGTAGATACAAATTTGGGAGTGGCTGACTGGATTTGACAACGTGCAGCTCTTTGTTGACTCTTATGTGATCAGTGTAGGTGTAATGGTGAAAGGGAGAAGGTCCACTGGATTTGACAATGTGCAGCTCTTTATTGACTCTGATGTGATCAGTTTAAGTGGAATGGGGGCGTAAAAATCAGATTGGAGTAGGTTTAAGAAAGAAAAGGAAAATGTTTATACCTCCTTCTCTCAAGAGCCACAAACAGAAGAACAAGAACCACAGCATCTCCATATATATCTGCAGTCCTGACTGCTTCCTTTAAGCTCTATACTCATTTTTCCAACTCTGTGCTGAACATTTCTACCTGGATATACAAAATTTAACATATCTGAAATCAAATTCTTGATTTCCTCCCATCAGACTCATTCCTCCTTTTTTCTTCCTATCTCTTTCATGCCATCTTTTCTTCTGCTTGCTCACTTTAAAAACTTTGGAGTCGTCTTTGGCTCCTCTTTTCTCATGCCCCTCGTTCAGTCCACCTTATGTCTCTACCGCCGTAATAGATTCTGAATCTGACCTCTTCTCCTTTCCATCATGTCGGTACTGTAGCTCAAACCATTATCATCTCTTGCCTGAATTCTTGGGGAAAAAAACATTCTAACTGGTCTTTCTGCTTCCTTTCTTCCTTCCCTAAGATCTGTTCACCAATTACCAGCTAGTGTGATCCTTTTGAAATATAAATCGGAGTTTTGTCAGTCCTCTGCTCAGAACCTCACAGTGGTTTCCCATCTTACGCCCGATAAAGTCCAAAGCCCTCACAGGCATGCGAGGCCCGACGTTATTTGGCTTACGGTGCCTCTTTGACTTCATCTCCTACCAGTAGCCCCCTTGCTCGCTGTGTTCCGCCACGCTCATCTCCTTGGTTCTCAGACACACCAAGCATCTCCCCACTTCAGAATATTTGTACTTCTTGCTTCCTCTGCTGGAGAACTTTACTCAGCCAGCCCCATGGCTGTCTTCCTCACTTCATTCAGGCCTCTGTTCAAATACCATTCTGTCAGAGAGGCCTTCTGTAGCCATTAAAATAGACCTAGAAAATTTCTCATGAGTTTGTCATTATGGAAATTTATGAGAGTCACCTTAAGGTGTTTCAAGGTGTGGAAAGATCTTAAATGTTCAGTGAAAGCCCTAAATGACAAGATAATAATAACTCCAGAAAAAAAAAAAGTCACAGCTATGGAAAAGTAATTATAGTATGCAGCTTGGCTAAGCCGTGAGTAGTATTTTCACCTTTCCTAATAATGAAAATAATGAATGTGGATTTGATCAAAAATTGAGATCTAGGTATATTGGAAGTTACAGGGATAAGAGGGGCTTTAAACAAGCCGTATCGTCCTCTACCAAAAAAAAAAAAAAAAAAAAAAAAAAACGCTAAAATCGATGACTCAAAAGACAGTAGCCCTCTACATTCGACTACCAATTTGTGGCAATACAGAGGGCCGCCCATGTTAAATAATACTACAAGGATGTGGTCAGCAAATTTAGACTGTGGGAAATGAGCATCAGACTGCCTGGTTTCTTCAACAGATAGATGTCAAGGGATTGGAAGATGGGGGAGGACAGTAGGATTTTGGGCTGGGGTTGCATGCCCATTTGTGTGTGCTCCTTACTTTGAAGCCTGGATATATACTTTTCCTCTGGCAGTGATCACTATTTTGCTGCAAGAGCAGAGAATGCAGAAAGTTTAGGTCAGCCAAGGTTGAGATTTAGCCAGGTGAGTATGTGGAGAGAGAGATGGACCAGGGGAGTTGTAGCCAGGTAAGTAGCTAAGTGATCACCAGGAGTGGCATGACAAATACTGAAAAACGGTAGGATTAATGAATTGGAAGTCTTGATGAAGCTGTGGAATTACTGCAGGGAATTACTAGAGTAATTGAGATGGAAACTAGGAAATGATGGTCAAAAAATGGTATTCTTGAAATCACAGTTTCAAAGAAAATATAGTTGATGATGACAGAATTGAATGGGTAGCACTGGGAGTGGATGGCCTAAGTTGTGGGAAGAAAAAGATCATTGGTGGTAAGGGTGGAAAGAGCTGATCAGCCCCCATCTCCTTAGAATACACTGTTAATTCTTGGGTCACCGGTACTCACATTTCTTTTTGGTAAGTGTTGCCAAATTGTCCTCTGGATAGCTTGTAGCAATTTATACTCCCACCTGTGTTGTGTGGGAGTATAAAGAGAAGCTATCTTAAAACTTAAATTTCAATTTACATGCCACACAATTCATCCATTGAGCTTATTCTGACAGGGTCAGGCAAACCTTAAGCAGGTTTTAGTATCTGGTAAAAACATTTTGTATAATGAGTCTGAAAACTCATCCATAAACATGAGACAGATGTGCTTGTGTTTTAAATAGTCCAACTTTTATCAGGATTTATTTGATCATTTTCAACCCCTGAATCCATTGAATGGCTTGCTTATGAATTCCCTAAAAGAGTTTGCTTTCCCAGGACTCTGCTCAGGAGCAATGCATTTTTAATGTAAGTTTTTTCAATTTAATACGTTTTGGACACCGCTATATATTAGTACTATATTTTTTAGGCAAATAATGCACATTATATGCTTTTGTCAACCGCGCAAACCCCCCCCCCCCGTGTTATTTTCATAAATGCACTATGCCAATGTTTTTTGATTTCGATTTCTGATCATATGGAAACTTCACTTAAGGTGGGTATTGATTTTATATTACTTGAAGTTTAAGCCAAAAATATTTACTGCTAGATCAGCTGTTGAGCTATAGTTATCAACTTAAATTAATAGAAACAAACACGCAGTTTTGTTTTATTTTCCGATTACTGGGGGACTGCCAAACCCAATCCATGGCTTTTTGGCCATGGCTTATACCTTTATTATACAATTATGATCAAAAGTATTATTTTCAGATTGTTTAGAAGATTAAAGAAAATGAACAGAATGAAAGAAAATTAACAGAACGATATGATTTACCCCTAATACGAGAGAACGGGTGAATGAGGCTGAAATTCACTTCTGGAAATGTCAGGAGACATGCACAATATAATGCATAGGTGTGCTATACCAGACTGTTCCACCTAATGTCCTCATCTCTTCGTGTTACACGTGTGGATGCATTATTTACATGGGCACATTATTTGCAAAAGTACGGTACATGTTGTTGTTAGTTGCTATTGAGTCGACTGTGACTCATGGCGACCCCATGTAGAACTGCTTCATAGGGTTTTCATGGGTTTGAACCACAAACCTTTCAGCTAGTAGTCGAACACTTAACTGATTGCACCACCCAGGGACTCCCTAGGAGCAATGTGTTTTCGCTAATTTTCAGGCAAAGAGGAGGCAGTGGCTATATAAGAAAATTAGAATCACTTTTGCTCCCATCTACAGTATATCTGAGCTTGGAACCTGTCAGTGGGGTGTCTTCATGTACCATGTGAGTACCCAAGTTTGGAGATGCTGCCTAAGTCCACAAATGTTGGCGTCTTTACTTCCTGGATCTCAAAGCTCAGTTTTCCCCCCTCTTCTCTCTGCTTCCCAAGTGAAGTTAAATGACACAGACTTTTCTCCTACCACTCTACCCAGGCATGTTGATGTCAGCATTCAGTCTATCTATTCTTGCTTTTAGAGCCTTGGGGAAACGAAAAGTAACTATTACGAAAGGTTGGGGGATTTCTGTGCTACAAAGTAGATGCATGAAAATGTTTCACTGTGTCGGGGAGGGCATGAGAACACAGGTGTGCTCGCAGGTTTTGGTGGATGTGTCAGTTGACACCACCTCTATGGAAAGCAATGTGCTGTTGTTCCTGTGTACCCTTGAGTCAGTTTTCGACTCAGCCACCCCATGTGACAGAGTAGAACTGCCCCAACTGTTTTCTAGGCTGTAATCTTTACAGGAGCTGATTGCCAGATCTTCTTCCTGTGGAGCCACTCGGTGGGTTCAAACTGCCAACCTTTCAGTTAGCAGCCAAGCGCTTGACTGTTGCACCACTAGGGCTCCTAAAAGCAGTGTAGCAGTATGTAGTATAATTTGTGAAAATGCAGATCCCCTTTGACCCTGCACTTCTGTTTCTAAGAATTTACCCTACAGATAGAGTTACATAGATGTGTAATACCAAGGATACACGTTACAGTATTATTTATAGTGGCAAAAGATGGGAAACAACCTAAATGCCCATCAGTAAGGTCAGCTCAATTATGGTATGTGGCGCAGTGGTTAAGAGCTTGGCTGCTGACCAGAAGGTCAGCAGTTCGAATCCACCAGCCGCTCCTTGGAAGCCATATGGGGTGGTTCTACTCTGTCCTGTGGGGTTGCTGTGAGTCAGAATCAACTCAAGGGCAACTGGTTTGGTTTGGTTTATACAGTGGATACTGTGAGTGATTGAGAAAAAGGATCACTAGAGTGGTTTGGTCTTTTATTAAATAGAAAAAGCGGGGCACACATCTGTTGTATGTGGTGTGCTGTTGTTTGTGTAGATTCAGTGCCCCTGGGTGGGCAGGCAGCCTGAGAAAGGGTGGTAGCTGTTGCCTCTAGGAAGTGAACTGATACCTGGGGATACAGGTGGACCACTTCAATTCTGTACCTGTTCAAAAATCAGTATTTCCAATTTCCTTATGTCATGTATCTTTTATAGTTCACAGAAATTACAGATGTCGACTTTAGTATTTATGGATTTTGCGTAGATTTTAAAAAGTACTTTGGTCTATTAATTAAAACTGAGTAGTTAGCATCTTAGAATGGAGCTTAAGTAAGAATTTAATGACCTTTAAAATGGCAATGTTATTTCAGTGCATTCAAGTCATTTTGTTTGTTTTGTTTTGATCGTTAGGTATTATGACTCTGTCTCCTTTTGATCAAATGAAGACTGCCTCCAATATAGGTGGATTTAATGCGACAATAAAAAACAGCCCGCCGGCCATGTCTCAGTATATCACCGTGGGGTCCAATCCGTTCACAGGCTTCTTCTATGCTCTAGAGGTAGTAATTCCATCACTGATCCTAAGTTATGCCGTTCCTGGTTTTTCAGCTGGTCTGCAAATTGGATGTGGTTAAGCAGTTTCGTCAGAAGCTAGAATTAATCTCAGTTTACTGTAGATTAACTGAAGAGGCACTAAAGTCAGCGTAGAACAAACATTGAAATCCTGTGTTTCCAGAAGCCCTGAGTTCTTTGACAGCTGAGCTGTTTTTACGTATTGGTGTTACAGTTAGATGCCTCAAGGTTGTTAACGACGTTAGTCCACCAGGGATTTGAATAAATGAATGGTAAGACAGCAAGTTGCCAGCTGTAGTTGATAAAGTGGTGAAGATTGCTTCTCAGGGAAAAACTAGGTGTAAGATTTGGCAGCTCTTATATCTTGCTTAAAAAACAGCCTTCTCAGAAATGCCTGAATTATCTTTTTATTTTTATTTAAAAAAAAAAATAGGGGAAGGAGCCATTTGTGTGTAGATGGGAAATCCAAAGCCCAGCTAGAGGAATGCTATCTTAATATCCCAATGTAAAAGTTTTTAAAATTTAAAGAGAGGAATCCTAAAGGCAAAAGTAGACTACCAGTGATTTTATTTTTAAAATAGCTTTAAAACTTCTGATTATATTGCTACCTCCTAAAATAAAGTTTTTACTGCACCCTGTGAAAGAAGCTGAATATTGTTGCTAGTCCAGGCTTTGCAACCTTCCAGAACTTTTCTGGTAAGCCTTGTTTAGAACGTATATTGTGTTCCTGTGGGAGCCACTGGGCTTTCTCTCCCAATCTTGTGTGTTCCTGTGGGAGCCACCGGGCTTTCTCTTCCAGTGTTGTGTGTTCCTGTGGGAGCCTCCGGGCTTTCTCTTCCAATCTTGTGTCTTCCAGGGAAGCGCGCAGCCGTTATTATCTCACGTCGCGCTCGCAGTTGCAAGTAAACTCACCTCCGCTTTATTCAATGCTGCCAGGTAACTGTATAAAAATTATCTAATCTGTAGCTACCTTGGTTTTAACTTGTAGTTTGATAGTCTGCATTTTAAAACTCTGGAAGCCCTAGTTTTATTCTCAAACTTTCTTTCCTTTAAGTGGTTGGCTTGGTTGGAAAAGTAAGCACGAAGAGGAAGCTGTCCAAAAGCAAAAGCCAAAGGTTGAACCCGCTACCCCGTTAGCTGTAAGGCAAGTCTGTCACACTCTTCATTAATGTCAGTACTTTCAGAAATGTTCTGTTAGGGTCTTCAGTGTGCTTCACTGATTTATTGGTTGATCTCGTAAGTCTGGAGCTTCTAAAATCATTAACGTGGATTTTTTCCGTTAGAATGTAAGCTCCCTGAGGATGGTGGTTCTTGCCTCATTTGTTCACTGCTGTCTGCCTATCACATAGTAGGTGCTCAATGTGTATTTAAGTGTGCTTAGAAAACAAAAACAGAAACAACCTATAAACTAAAAACAACAACCTATAAATAGCTTAGGTTGCAAAGGAAAGTGAGTTTAGTGGTAGCTGTTGAATTTCTTCCTTTAAATAGTTTGTCAGTAAGATTCCTATATAATCTTACAAAGTACTTAGTGATTTCTTTAAAAGAGTAGGACCAGCATTCACATGCATGCATTCTCCCGAGTGCTGGCCTATGCTTCCTTGCCTGTTTGTTTAAGAGTTTGGCTGCTAACCCCTATGTCAGCAGTTCCAGTCCACCAGCCCCCCGTGGAAGCCCTGCGAGGCAGTTCTCCTCTGTCCTGTAGGGTCGCTGTGAGTCGCTATCAACTTGACGGCAGCCGGTTTGGTTTTGGTGTTATAGGTTGTGTTAGTGTATTTGTCAGGTTTTTGGGGGCAGGGCTGACATGCTTTTTACCTGGTTTTGTTTTTAAATCATTTTTTATTAAAAGTACTGCCATGAAGGGAAATAGAACACTCTCCCCTACTCCCTTCTAGATGCTTTTAATGAGACTGTTTCTAAAATTTTTTTCATCTTACTTTAAAATATTTTATTGTAACACATCACATTACCTAAATTCACCCAAGAATAAAGAAATAAGCCAGAAAGCCTTAAGTTTCCCAAATAGATGTCAGAAAACATGGGCACTTTGTGTCAGAGGCCTGACTGCAGATGGGCTCCTCTGTTCCCTCCACAGGACCTCCTGACTTCTGTCTTCCCTGTGGTTCGAATGAGATGAGTTATAGACCAGGAGCAGCTTAGAGGGAGCTATTTCTGTCCTGTAGGGTTGCTGTGAGTCGGGTCGACTCAACGGCAGTGGGTTTGGTTTCTTGTTTTTGCTTTTGTTTTTTAGCAGAAGGAGAGCTCTTACTTCAGGCATATATTTTATGGCTGATGCAAGATGTGATATCCAACGAAAAAGAGACGCATAAGGAATAAGAGTGTAAAAATAGACAGTAGATGCCCGGGTAGGGGCAAAGTATTCTAAAATTTAGTAGATGATGAGGATATTGTTTTCTGTGACATATCTCTGAAGGTAAAGTTGTATTTGATACTCTCAGAAAGTTTAAGGTTTGGGTATTCTATATAGAAAACTTATGATTTTATCAGGCTGCTTTTTTATTTCATAATAGAAGAAATTTTATGTATTTTATATTGGAAAATGTCGGGTGTGATTAGTTAATAAATTGACTGTTAATACAATAGGGTTCATATTTCTTTACGTAAAACCAGATTCAGTCTGTTTTGTTTATGTATTTTACTTCTCTGGATCAGAATGTGATTTGAGTTTTTTTTTTTCATATCAGATTTGGACTTCCCGATTCTAGACGCCATGGTGAAAGCATATGTCTGTCTCCATGTAACACACTGGCAGCAGCAACAGATGATTTCGGCAGAGTTATTCTGTTGGATGTAGCTAGAGGAATTGCAATACGCATGTGGAAAGGTATTCCTTACGAAAATCCAGATAAAAAAGTTAATTCACTTTTAACCTGAAATTGACCTACTGTGTTATCCTTCAGCTTCTGGTTGTAACAGTGTTTAAGCTTTATTATTACTCTTTTTTAACAGTCTCAGATCAGCAGCACTTAATCCAGTAGTTCAGCTGACATACCCTTTAAGTTTGATCACCTCATAAGCACTTTTAACCTCTGTCTTACGCACTTCCTTTCAATTCACTGTGAATTCCTGAATTCAGTTTCTTGCCTCTGCTACGTTTATTCTACCTCACAAGGCCACTCTTGATCCAAATCACCTCCCCAAATCTAGAATGCCAAGTCTTTCTGATTTAAGATAGCAAAACGCAGCAAAATCCATTTTCCCCAACTTGCTTGACTTCCGTATCCATATGCTTGGGACTAACTACATCAGTTCCATTCAGCTGCTAGTAACAGAACTGAGGACAGTATGACCATGATATTCTCAGGGACCCAGGACTCATTCCATATGGCTTCCATGCTTGAAGTTATCTTGTGGTCCAGAATGACTGCTGGAGCTCCAGCCTACTTACCTGTATTCCAGAAAGGAATAAGGGGAAGGAAGGAAGGGAACTCCTGCCAACCAAGTCAGTCCACTTGGAAGACATTTTCTGAAGTCCCTCCAACTTTTATCAGAATTTAGTCACATGGCCACATCTAACTATAAGGGAGACTTGAAAATGTCTTTAGCTGGGCACACTATCCACCTGGATAAAGTAAAATCTGTCCTACTAAGGAAGAAGGGGAGAATACATTATTTGCAGTCATCTGGAAATGGTAACATGTCAGCATAGACTACTGGTGGGAAGCCACAGCTATGGTGCATTACGGTCTGTACTTCACAATGTGCAGAATAGGGATTTCGGGACATTAAATTATTTTGAACCAGACTGAAGCTACTATCACCTTCTCGCCAAAAAACTCCTGCAGTGACAGAGACAGTCTTTACCTGCAACATGTTTAGGTGTCTGTAGAAATAAGTTTCAGTGCTGCAAACACATAATTTCTCCTTGGTTTGTCTTCTGAAACAACCTCAAGGATGTGTTTTCAGCAACACTTTTCCAGAACCCAGAAGACAAAAGCATTTCCAAAGGTCCAAGTCCACTCTGGGGATCTTATTGCTGGCATTGTTGCATGTCCTACAGCTGGGGCACTCGGTTTTCCTTTAAGAGTAAGCCTTGTTCCCTGGGGAGAGAGGGGCCGATAGACTATGCAGGGACCACCCTGAAGTGGAAGAAAGCGTCAGTCAGCTGCATCTTCTCGCGTACAGGAGCTTCCTCTGGTTGTTACACTGTCCACCCTTTCCCTCTATCTGCGGACCGCCAAGGGAGCAAATAGCAGAAAATCAGTTGAGTCTTTTTCTCTCGTGTGTGTGTGTGTGTATGTGCGTGTGTACACACATCTGTATGTATGATTGTATTGTATGTGGTAAATATATATATAACCAAAAAAATTGCTATTTTAACCATTTTCAAGTGTACAGTTCAGTGACATCAATCCCATTGCATTGTGCAGCCATCACCACTATCCATTTCCTAAAGTTTCTTATCACCCCAAACAGAAACTCGGCACCGCTCACGCAATAATGCCTCGTTTTCCCCCAACCCCTGGTAACTACTAATAAACTCTGGGCTCCATGCATTTGCCTATTCTAGATACTTCATACAATTGGATCCTACAATGTTTTTATCCTTCAGTGTCTGATTTACTTCACTCAGCATAATGCTTTCGAATTCATACATGTTACAACATGTATCAGAACTTTGTCTTTGTGACTGCGTAATGGTCCATTGTATGTATGTGCAACATTCTGCATACCCATTTTGCTGTTGATGGGCACACACTTGGGTTGTTTCCACCTTTTGGCTATTGTGAATAATGCTGCAGTGAACATTGGTGTACGAGTCTCTGTTCGAGTCCCTGCTTTCAAGTTTTTTGCACATATAGCTAGGAGTGTAATTGCTTGATTTCTTATATTTTAATTGGATTTTTATTTTAAACCCAAACTGATAACCTCCACAGACTTTATAAAGGGAAGGAAGGGGAATTGGATCAGGGAGGGTTATGAGACTTGAACGATATCTGTAATATTTTGCTTTTAAAGATAAAAAAGTAATGTGGAGAAATACAACAGAATATTAAGATTTATTAAGATTTAATGATAGATTGTGTTCATTATGTTTATTATTGTCTACTTGTCTATTTAAGATATTGCATAATAGAAGGATAATGTACTTTTATAGCTTTTCTTATCCCCTCCCCCGCAAATAGTCCATAGTGCTTAAGAAGGCTATCAATGAACCTGAATTAATTAACTAATTAGCTTCCCTTTTCCTCTTGACTCCAAGGGTACCGAGATGCACAGATTGGATGGCTCCAAATTGTAGAGGACCTCCACGAAAGAGTACCGGAAAAGGTGGATTCATCCCCCTTTGGAAATACTCAGGGTCCAAGCCGAGTGGCCCAGTTCCTTGTGATCTACGCACCGAGAAGGGGAGTATTGGAAGTGTGGAGCACACAGCAGGGACCCCGCGTGGGAGCTTTCAACGTGGGAAAGCACTGTAGGTAAGCTGCAAACCCGGGCACGTTGCTGCTTGCAGAAACAGGTACAGGGATGCTTTCGTTAGAGGTGTGATAAGCTGCTTACTAGATCGCTGGTTGTTTGGGGACTGAAATGCGCTCTATTATGGTTTTTCCCACAAGTGCCCAATATGTAATTAAGGTTGAAGTATTTAATAACAAAGAAATACTGAAAAGGTAATGACACGCTACTGAAATCCTCTAACCCTTATGCTGTGGAGGCATGAAAGGAAAGACTCCTTTAAAGTTCGCTAGTGATGGTGTCTCGGGCCCTGGGGTGGCGCAGATGGTTAAGTGCTTGACTACTAACTGAAAGGTTGGTGGTTCGAACCCGCCTAGAGGCTCCTTGGAAGACAGGCCTGTCGATCTGCTTCCAAAAGCCTTGAAAACTATGGAGCAATTGTAGTCTGCGCACATGGGGCCACCATGAGGCAGAATCGACTTGACAGCAACAACAGTGATGATGTTAAGTCAGGTGAATGCTTTGTTTGCCATTGAAGCATCGGCCTGACTGTGTTCATTGATTTTCTAGCACATTCTAGTAAGGTAGAACTCTGCCATTCTAGCCCTGCTTTTCTTGGCTTTAGTATCAGTCAGTGCTTATTTACCTTATTGCTCCTGAATTGGTATTAATGTAAGGTTCCCTGACTATGATAAAAGCACCTTTTGGCAATTCTCTAATATTTTTACCATATTGGTATGTGATTTCCTTAGGCTACTATATCCTGGCTATAAAATAATGGGCTTGAATAATGTTACCAGTCAGAGTTGGCAGCCACAGACTTACCAGATCTGTCTTGTTGATCAAGTGTCTGGAAGTATGAAAACAGTGACTGCTCCTTTCCACTTAGCACTGAGGTAAGGTTGATTAAGTGTCTGCTGGCTCATGTCCCTCTGCTAACTTTTCCTCATCCCTTGTTTTGCTGTTTGTTTTATTATTTTTATAATTAGACTGGTATCTCTAAAGTTAAAATTGGAAGACGGTAAAAGAAAAAGAGTTGGAGTGTGTCAAAATTAGAAGGAAACTTTAATTTCACATTTTGCAACAATTTGTTGTATTTATTGTTTTAGTGATAAAAAAAGTGAACGGGCCAAGGACATGCACTTAGTGAAGAAACTAGCAGCCTTACTGAAATCAAAATCACCCAGTCTAGGTATGTATCCTTGAATAAAAATAAAAACATACTGTTTTGCAATTTTTAAAAAAATCAATAGAATGTTCTAAATGGAGCAATCAAAATACTTAAATGCATTTATAGCTGCCTCAACTCCTTTATGGAATGAGGTGGGGTACAAATAATCATGTATATTTTTTATTGGGATTGTTCTGTAAAGATTAAGTGTGCCATCCAGGTAGATGAGAAGTTTGTAACAGTAAAATACAGCAAACCCAGAAATCCCTTAGACTGACTGATATTGCAAGTACGAACATTTTTGTTTCAGAATAAAATTTACTTACAGTGATACGAGTGGAAAATTTACTGTAATTTCCTCTTTCTAGATTTGATGGAAATGGAAATAAAGGAATTAATTCTTGATATTAAGTACCCCGCAACCAAAAAGCAGGTGAGTGTATATAATGCATGGACTTTCCTGCTGAATAGGTATTACATATCCAGCTTAAGAAAATCTTTTATTTTCCCATTTCTGTCCAGACATGACAGGGCAGGCCTGCTTTTCATGCTTTTATCCATGCTTGTCTCTTTTTACATTCTCATGTGAAATTTCCTATTGTCTTTTTTCTTTCTTTTTTAAAAAAAATTAATATTACCGTACATGTGATTGCGTGTTTTTTATACACAAACGTGCATACACACAGATACATCCATACATAACATATATTCAGTTTAGAGAGTAATAATAAAACTCACGTGTGTGACCACCCAGCTTAGAATGTGGCCGGGAACTCTGGTGAGCCCTATGTGCCCCTCCTCCACACCTGTCACCCTTCACTCTCGTCCCCATGGTAACCACTGCAGGACCTTATATCTCTCTTTTCTTTATCTCACACCTTTATGGATCCTAAAAACATCCTGGTGCGTTTTCTGTGTTTTTAAACTCCATATAAATGGAGTCATGGTCTGTGTATTCTGTGACTTTTTTTTTTCCCTTCAACATTTTGAGAGTCATCCATGTTGATGTCTGTGGCTATAGTTGATTCATTCACTATCCTATATGAATTTTACTCTGTGGCCGTAAATAAAATAAGTTGTTCACTTTCTCTTAGTGGACATTTAGGTTGTTTCTATTTATTTTTTTTGCTGTTACAAACAATGATGCTGTGATTCTTTTTGTACATCTTTTTTGGTGCATGTATGTAAGAGTGTCTTGAGTTTATACCTAAGAGTGGAATTGCTAGGGTCTGAGCTTCTTCAGCTTTACTGTAGTTGTTGTTGTTAGGTGCCGTCGAGTTGATTCCGACACGTAGTGACCCCATAGAACAGTGTAGAATTGCCCCATAGGGTTTCCAAGGAGCAGCTGGTGGATTTGAACTGCCAGCCTTTATGGTTAGCAGCTGAGCTCTTAACCACTGCACCACCAGGGCTCCTCAGCTTTACTAGTTGATGACAAATTATTTCCCAAAATAGTTGTACTAATTTATGCTCCCACTTACACTGTGTAAGAGTCCCTGTTGCCTCAAAGCCTCAACATCCCGTAGGATTATCAGACTGTCTACCTTTGCCAGGCTTGTGGATGTAATGTGGTAACTCATTGTGATTTCCTTTGCTTCATTTTCTCCTGGCCAGACTCCTCATAATGCTGCTCAAGTTCTAACGCTGTAAAATCTTATACTTTAGTCTTCGTGGACACCTCTGAACTCTAGTAGAGAAGGTCAAAACCCAGACAGTTCTCATTTTGATACCATTTTCTTCTTACCTTACATCACGAAATAACAAAACTGGGCAGCTTTAGCATAGTATAAACCATCTTCTTGATTTTTTTTTTTTACTGTACTAATGAATTGTGTATGAAGCTATGAATTTTAAAATGAATGCTGAAAAAACAAGTAGCAGAAGCTGTGGGTGTTTTACAACATGAGAAGCAAAGAAGAAACCAGTTTCGCTTTGTGAAACTGACTGTAGACAAGAAAGTCAGCCAGATGCTAGCCTGTGTAGTCACAGGCAGGAGAGTGGGAGGTTACATTTGTCCTGAGTACTTGTCTCTTTTAGTCACTTTCGTTGTATTCTCCAGGTAGCTGCCTACTCGTAGGCCTGACCAGCCTGTTGAGCCACCATCTAAACCCATTTCTCTCCCACAAACACACAGAGGTTTTTGTGTTATGATCTGATATGTATCTCACATCACAGGCTAATTTTAAATTATTTAATCTCGTCAGTTAAAACATGGAAGGATAAATATGAACTTAACTGCTGTGCCTAACCCATTGTTGTTGCTGATGGTTGCTACTTTGGGCATGAAGTTTTGGGACTGGTGATGAAGGCTCGTAAATATATACCAAGGGGATGGGGGTTTGACAGAATGGGGTAGGAGTATATATAGACACACATATATACACCTAGCATGACCTATAGATTCAGCCAGCCATGCACAAATGCAGTAATTAAGCTATAGTTAAGTTGTGCTCAATTATAGCACATAATGAATTATGATAGTAGTGACCTATGTTTTTCATTTATGGAGCCCTGGTGGTGCAGTGGGAATGGTCGGCAGTTCAAATCCACCAGCCGCTCCTTGGAAACCATGCGGGGCAGTTCTACTCTGTCCTGTAGGGTCACTATGAGTCAGAATCGACTCGACGGCAGCGGGTTAATGGGTTTTCATTTATGCCTGTTTAGTGTGGCGTCCTCACACTTCTTATTGGTTGATAGCTTTGTCATGGCCGTTCTGTTAAGCATCAGTTGCCTTCTGGTTATTTTATTCTCGGTCTGGACTTCTTGTCATTCTACCATGTTTGTCATGAAATGAAGTTACTTATCACTTATGGTGCAACTTTCACTGTCAGGTATATAGACTCCAATCTTAAGGTGTATATACATCTTCAGTGTGGAGCGTCCCTTTGAAATTTGGTGTAGTAAAAGTGTAGGCATAAATATAAAATTTAAAAAACAAAATCCTTGCCTTCTAATTACTAGAATTGTTTAATATCTTTCTTCTAGGCATTGGAAAGCATCTTGGCAAGTGAACGCTTATCGTTTTCCTGCCTTAGAAACATCACTCAGACTTTAATGGACACTTTACAGAATCAAGGTAATTGGGTTTGTTCTGTTTGGAGGTTATGATCTCAGTTCAGATTTTATATCTCTGGTTATAGAAAGCCAGTAACTGCTTATGATACCATCATGTTACTTCAGTGTGGAAAAAATACATATGAAAAGTAAGGAAACTTATTTCACACCGTTGCTATGTGAGGGCCTTCACTTCCCCCACCATTTAATATATGCGGCCGATCTTCATCTGAGCTGTCTCTGGATGTATTGATGCTGGTATTGGGAAAAAATGTTTTTAATCCCTCTCCTGTGAGGGAAGGTAACAGTGTAGATTGATGGAAGTGCTTAGTCTGGTTTGGTTGTAGGATATCTCGAAAGCCACTGGCGTGAAAGGAAAGGTAGCGGGTGTCTGTAGACACAACCAGGTTCTCTTTTGCTGCCATTGTCTTTGTTGTAACTTTGTGGGACGAAAGCTATTTCTATGGAGGGAGTATTTTTTAAGCATTGTGGTTTTGACCAAGATAATGATTAAAAATATTTATGCTTTGAGTTAATGTTTAAATAGCGTAATGAGTGATCCTGTGGCACCCACATTTTGTCATCTATTTCCCTCAGGAGCAGACTTAGGACTCTTCCAGAATCACAGACTGTGACTCAGTTATTAGTCCTGAGCTGTCTGGTGTTTTTTACTGTTCAGAATGTATTAGTCTAAAAAGAATTACATCTGAAACTGTGGGGTTGTAACTCCATATTCTATCCAAATGAGCTAGCAAAATCCAATTTATTCTCAATTCTTAACATCAGTTAAGTTGTAGTATGATACTGGCTTTCATCTAAACTTAATACTTCAGCTTCTGCTTGTCATGTTAATCATATAATTACATAAAGCCAGCTTTGTATTTAATTATATTTATGTCAGCTTAAAGTGGCCTTGTAAACAGATCATAATATGCTTTTTAAAAATCCTAAATTTGAGACTCTTCTTCCATTACTGACTTTTCTCAGCAGGCATATAAAGCTCACTTTTCATAAATAATGAAGTCCGTTAGTGCACACAACATTTTAGAATTTTTTTCTCTTGTAAAAAGCGTAATTCATTTTAAAGCCTCCCCCCCCCCCCCCCCCCCCGCGCCGGCAGTGTTTTAACAAAATCTCAGGATTTAGTAAACAAAAAATTATCTTGTCCTGGGTTGGGAGTAAACCAAATACCATTTGTTGGAGTTCTATAAAACCAGTACTGGTTTAAAATTCTAGCCATAAGTAATGTTCCTAAAAATGTCAGGTATTCAGTATGCTGAGTTTTATAATGGCTATAAGAACTTGAACAATATTCCACATTACTCCACTTTATGCAAGACTTCTTGGGGTTTTCAGTGTCTGCCTTTTTAAAGAATAAATATTTGTCTTATATTAGATATAAATATTTAAATTATTCTACAGAAATGCATCATGTAGAAAGTGATTATTTCTCCAGCATTAATCCTGAAACAATACAACACCTGACTGAAGGAAATCATAAATGGAATTCTACTTTCGACCTCTTCGCCAGCTTTTTTTTCAAATACCATTCTTAAAATTGTGATGAATATGTATGTAAGAAAACGTGTGTGATTTCAGTGTTCTTACATGCACAGTTCAGTGACATTCACTTACGTTCATCGTGTTGCTCAGCCATCACCCTGATCGGTTCCCAGAGTTTTCTCTCAGTTACCAGTCTTAAGGTTTAAACACAGAAGAAAACACTCTGATGGTTACGAGGGCGGGGAGGGAGGGAGAGGGGTATTCACTAATTAGAAAGTAGACAAGAATTATTTTAGGTGAAGGGGAGGACAGCATACACTATGGGGGAGGTCAGCATACCTGTACTAAACCAAAGCTGAGAAGTTTCCTGAATACAGTCAAACACTTCGAGGGACAGAGGAGCAGGGTGGGGGTCTGGGGAGCATGGTTTCAGGGGACATCTAGGTCAGTTGGCATAACACAGTTTATGAAGAAGATGTTCTGCATCCCACTTTGTTGAGTGGTGTCTGGGATCTTAAAAGCTAGCGAGTGGCCATCTAAGATGCGTCAGTTGGTCCCAACCCACCTGAAATAAAGGAGAATGAAGAACACCATAAACACAAGGGAAGTATTAGCCCCAGAGACAGAAAGGGCCACATAAACCAGAGACTCTTCTGAACTAGATGGTGCCCGGCTACCACAATGACCACCCTGACAGGGAATGCAACAGAGAGTCTCTGATGGAGCAGAGGAAAAGAAGGGTGTAGAACTCAAATTCTAGTAAAAAGGCCAGACTTAATGGTTCGATTGAGACTGGAGGGACCTTGGAAGACATGGCCCCCGGATTCTCTGTTAGCCCAAAACTAAAACCATTCCCAAGGCCAACTCTTCAGATAAAGATTAGACTGCACTATGGGACATAAAATGATACTCATGAAGAGTGTGCTTCTTAGCTCAAGTAGATACATGAGACTAGATGGGCAGCTTCTGTCCGGAGGCAAGATGAGAAGGCAGAGAGGGTCAGGGGCTGGTTGAATAGACGGGAAATCTGGGATGGAAAGGAAGAGTGTGCTGTCACAGTATAAGAGAGCAACTAGGGTCACATAACAATGTATGGAAAAATTTTTGTATGAGAGACTAACTTGAATTGTAAAGTTTCACTTAAAGCACAACAGTTTAAAAAAAAAAAATTGCCAGTCTTTCTTGAGGATACATTTGTCACAATCCATGGTTTCTGGTTGAATTTTATTATCTTTGACAATCATGATAATAAGAACCAAGCATCTATTATATTTTTGTGTAGCCTTGATCTTTGAGCATAATACACAACATTTGAGTTGTGGAGGGAGGGAGAATATTTTCAAAGATGTTTCTAGATCATTTCTGTAAATTTGAGCAGTAGACATATTTCTGCTTCTTTCTCCCCACTCCCCACCCTTATAGCACCTTATTTTATTTAAAAAGTTAGACATTTTGCCACTGTGGAAAAATTATACTTGCTTTCATAATCTGTTACAGCTTAAGCATCCCAGTATTTAATACAACAGAACACCAGCGACTAGATCATATTAAGAGACTTAGTGGAACAAGAGCTTTTCTGAGTCTCTTAAATATATCTTTAATGTGCTTTTCTTTCTCCCTTTTAGAGCTTGAGTCTGTTGATGAAGGATTGCTACACTTCTGTGCCAGTAAACTGAAATTGCTCCATCTTTATGAGTCTGTCAGTAAATTAAATTCCCTTGATTTTCATTCAGATACACCATTCTCTGATAATGTGAGTAATCCCACATTGTATTACTGTACAAAATAATCTCCTTGCTGTTTTTTTTTTTTTTTTTTTAGTAAAGCTAGCAGAGAAAACTAAGAATTGTTTTTAAATCTTAAAGTTCTGTAGCTCCCTTTTGGCCCTCTGAGCCTTGTTGCTAAATTTATATTATTTATGCCAGAGTACTAATTTTTTTTTGTTGTTAATCCAGTTTTACTACCCTAGCATTTAGTCTTTCTTAACTCATTTCTTAAGGTTACAACTTCTTCTGGACAAGGTTTGCCAGTTGTGATACATTCAGTGTACTAAAGTGGCAAAACTTTAATTTCTTTTTAAAGAAAAATAAAATGATCTGCTAAATAAAAACATCAGTGTTTCTGTGTTGTTGCTAGCAAACTCCTACAGCTTGCTTGGTTCTGTACTACATAATGAAATACATTTAAAAAAATTGTCTTACAGCAAAGTTTATAGTAACGATAGCTGATGATTCCCATTGATGTTCTGTTTTTATTCTGTAAAACATGAGAGCGGGACAGCACCTTGTGGTCTTGACCACATTGCAGTCTTGCCGCTTCTGAGGAGTGCTGACAGAATTCTGACCTTCTGTACAGAGAAATAAAGGTTCTCTGAGAGGAGACAGAAGCACTGTCCCTCTCCTCCCTCAGAGTACCATGTGACACTAAGCGGGGAGCCCAGCCTCAGGGCCTTGTGTCTTCTGCTTATCTAGAGGAGGGTCACTGTCCAAGTGAGTTTAGTGATTCTCAAGCCACTGATAATGCTTCTTAAGAAAATTACCTGGTATAGCTGAAAGTTAATTGAAGCTTCAGGTAGAAGTTTTTATTTTAAACGTACACACACGAATAAAAAAATTTTAAACAGAAAAATAAAAGATTTTCTCTTTGTAATGGAAACAATCCACACATTCTAACATCTTTATATATATATATTTATATATGTGTGTGCGTGTATATATATATGTATATATATATATATGGAGCCCTGGTGGCACAGTCGTTAAGCGCTGTGGCTGCTAACCAAAAGATCGGCAGTTCGAGTCCACCAGCCGCACCTTGGAAACCCTATGGGGCAGTTCTACTCTGTCCTGTAGGGTCACTGTGAGTTAGAATCAACTCGATGGCAACTGGTTTGGTTTTTGGTTTTTTATATATTGTGTATATGTATATATATATGTATATGTATATATAGTATATATATGTGTATATATATTTGGGATTATAGATGGATTTTATATAACATATTAAAACTAATCTGTTCATAATGACATATTCTGTGATTGCCATTATAAGTAACAGCGCCGTTTCTTAGAATCTTTTATTTTTCTGCCTGCTTCAGCAGTGGGGTAAAATAATTCCAAGCAACAGGAAGGTTCATGTTGACTGAACACTGATAGTAGCATTTTGAGATATTTCTGCACATATGGTGTGTAAAAGTAGTCTGAAAGGCTGGCAGTTTCTGTTTGTATTCCCGAGAGCCACATAGAGGATTTACATGTAGAAGGATACAGTTAGGATTATTTTAACCATGTGTTTATAGTTTCCTTACTGCATAATAAATAAACACTTAATTTCAAGTAGTTCATTAGTTCATCCTCAGAATCACAAGAGCTGTAGTTGAGACCCTGGTTAATTTTTTTCTGAGTATACAATAATACGTTTATTAAAAATCAAACTATAAAAATGGGCCTTTTAGTGTATAGTGTCTTAAGGTTTGTCTGCTTTATTTAAATAACCTACTCGTGAAGTGTGGCAATTCGAGAGTCAAGTTTTAAGCAGAGTGCATTACAGCTAACACAATAACAAATCAGTCATGGTTTGCTTACCTTAAAAAAGGAGTTTACTGCTCTGCCTACAGCCTTGTGTTTCAGTTCAGATGATGAGAGTTAGCACAAAAAGAAACACGGTCTGTTCAGAGTTGTTTTCCCTCGTTCTTAAGGACTTGGCTGTGTTACTGAGGCTTGATGAAAAAGAACTGCTGAAGCTGCAGTCATTATTGGAGAGGTACAAGCAGGAGAGCACCAGGACAGCTGTCCGATTTTCTGACGATAAGGATGGTGTGTTGCCTGTCAAGACATTCCTGGAGTATTTAGACTGTGAGAAAGACGTGATCAACGTAAAGAAAATTAGTGAAGAGGCGTATGTAGCTTTGGGTAGGTAGAATAATGAATTGCTCTCTGAATTCTCCTCCTTCTGGAAGAAAGCCTGTTAGTACACAGCATCTCAAAGGTTCTGTTGGTTTTGAAATTAAATTAACCAAAGACTTTAATGTATATCTTTTGGCCAATAAAAGATATTCCGGATATGTATGTGCTGTGTCATACAAATTGTATTATATTAATAAGTATACTAAAGAGACGTGCTGGACATGTAATGATTTGCCTGCTGCCTTCGTAAATCCAGCAAAGTGAACCACTGTCTTCTCTCATATGCTGTTCTGCTCCTTTGGGATGCTAGATTGCAGTTCAGGAAGATTGGTAGTCCAGATGGTGTGGAGTCATTGGTTAATGTGCCTGGTTTTTGTTTCTAGGCGCTTTGTTTTTCTGGAAGTGTCTGCATGGAGAAAGCTCCACGGAGGACATGTGTCGCACTTTGGAGTCTGCTGGCCTCAGCCCCCAGCTGTTGTTGGTAAGCTTTCTCGTTGCTGGATGCCGCTCTGCCTTGGCGGTGTCACCCAGCGTCCAGCCGTCTTTTTTAGCTTTGTCTTTTAGCGTATCATAGAACTTACATGAAAGTCTTCTACTTCTAAAAATGATCAGACAAATTCATAATTACCGTATTCAATTGAATAATGATGTTTTATTTTTCTTGTTCCCTATAAGTTATAACAAGCACATTCCATGATTGGCCTAAAATAGAGAATCCGACACACATGGATGTATTTGCGATGAACTTTGAAAATCAGTAAAAATTGTCATCGTCGAAATAAAGATCTTATTTAGAGAACGAAATAAATTTCCCTTAAAGTGATATACAGTTGTTATCAAACATTTCCAAACTTGGAATATATAAGTCAGTATTTAATCTCTGTACTGTAACAGGTGTAAAACAAAAGAATCACTTAGGGAAAAACTGCAACACTAAATTTAGAGACCTGTAATTACCCTTTCTGAAAAGGTATACGGAAGTTACGGAGTCTCTGGGTGGTGCAATGGTTAGGCATTTGACTACTAGCCGAAAGGTCAGCGGTTTGAACCCATCCAGAGGCACCTTGGAAGACAAGCCTGGCAATCTGTTTCCAAAAGGTCACAGCCTTACAAACCTTATGGAGCAGTTCTACTCATCACATGTGGGGTCGCCACGAGTCAGGATCACCTTGACAGCAGCCAACAACAACAACATGGGACAGTTACTCCACCGTCAGCCATCAGTTTGCTCTCTCTCTCTCTCTGTCTCTCTGTCTCTGTCTCTCACACACACACACACACACACACACACACACACAGACACACACACACACTCACAGACACACACAGACACACACTCTTCTACACCCTCACTCACATATAGTGGCAAAAATTTAGACATTTTACCTCAGTGGGCTTATTGACTGTGTTAATATATTGTTTGTATTGAACGCTTAAGTCCTTTAAAAATAGATGCTGTTCTGTCTCACTCTAGCAGTGTATATGTGAGAAAATAAAACAGTTAAAAATATACATAGGTTGTACATGAATGTTCATAGCACCTTTATTCACAGTAGCCAAAAACTGAAAACTACACAAGTGCCCTTCAGTGGGCAAATGGTTAAATAAGCTGTGGGTACATCCTTACTATGGAATACTCTTCAGCAATGAAAAGGAATGAGCTGTTGATACCTGCAACTCAAGGAAAATATGCTGAGTGAAAAAGCCAGTCTCTAAAGAATGGGTATATACTCATGATTCCATTTGTGTAACATTCGAGAAATAGCAGTTATAGCGATGGAGATCACATTCGTGGTTGCCAGGAGTTAGGGATGAGTTGAGGGAGAAGATGAATGTAGCTGTAAAGGGGCGACAGGAGGGAGTCCCTTGCTGATGGTGTAGTTGAGTTGTGCTGGTGATCATGCAAGGCTACCCATGTGCTAAAAGTGCATAAAGGTCCACATCCCCACACACAGTGAGTGCCTGTGTAACTGGTGAAATCTGAACAAGCTCTGTGGATTCTACCTCTGTCACTTTCTTGGATTTGATGTATTATAGTTGTGTAGGATGTTCACACTGGGCAGGGCTGGGGAAGGGCGCACAGGACTTTATCCATTTCTTTCCCCCGCCTGTGACTCTATCATTTTGTAAAAATAAAAAGTTGTTACCAAGGGGATAAGTATACCTGTCAAAGTTGAGATGATTAAACAAAATCAGCACACAGTATTCTTACTTTGCAGTGTGTTTAATATCAGCAGCATTTTGTTGTCTGCATAAATCTGGGGATAAACAAAGCACTTGGAAAAAAAAAAAAAAGAATCTTGATTCTTACCTTAAACTGTATACAGAAATTAACTCGAAAATGGAACACAGACCTAAATGTAAGAGCTAGAACTACAAATCTTACTGAAGAAAACAGGAGAACATCTTTGTGATTTCTTAGGACACAAAAAGTATGAACCATAAAAGAAAAATACTGATCAGTTGTACTTTATCAAACTTCAAAATGTCTGTTTTTTTAAAAGACACTGTTAACAAACAAAAGGCAAGCCTTTTTTTCAAAACATATAGCTGATAAATGACTTGTATCCCCAATATATGAAGAATTTTTACAACTCAATAGTAAGATAAATAATATATTAAAAATGAACAAAAGATTTGGAAAGCTACATCACCAAGAAGTATACATACTGGTGGCAGATAATCACATGAAAAGATGCCCAGTATCTTCAGTTACTTGGGAAATGCAAAATAAAACCACAAGGGTCCCTGCACCACTAGAATGGCTAAGATTAAAAAGACCGATCATTCCAAGTGTTGATGAGGATGCAGAACAATCAGAACTTTCATGCCCAGCTAGTGGAAATGCGAAGTCATACAGCCACTTTGGAAAATAGTTCGGCAGTTACCATAAAATCCAGCAATCTCACTCCTAGATGTTTACCCAAGAGGGATGAAAATGTATGTTCACACTAAGTCTTGGACTCAAATGCTTATAGCAACTTTATTCATAATAGCCCAAACTGGAAACAACCCAAATGTCCACCAACTGATAAATGGATAAATTATGGCCTGCCCATATAATGGAAGGAACTACTAATGATACTCAGAATAACAAATGAGTATCAAAAGCATGAAGTGAAAGGATCCAGAATCAAAAAACTGTTTATGTTTTCAGTTACATGAAATACTAGAATAGATAAGAATATAGAGACAGAAAGCAGATCAGTGATTGCTAGGTGATGAGGTAGGGTTGGAGATTTACTACGAAGAGGCACAGGGGTACTTTTTGGTGATGGAAGTGTACTGTATCATATTTATGGTGTTGGTTATGCAACTTTAGTGAATTTTATTGTGTATACAGTGAAACCTGTGAGAGCTGGAACTCAATGGGGCTGCCTCGTTTTTCCGGTTCTTGCAAGTTTTCTGCCTTTGACGGTGCGGCCTTACCACTTTCCTAGCTCTCCTTTAAGTGGAAAATATTTGCACTTTCCTTCTCTGACAGATTTCCACCTTACACAGGTTCCAGCTTTTGCTGGTTTTACTGTATGTGTTATGCTGGGATAAAGCTAATTATATATAGAAGATTTGCCTGCTTAAAACCCACAAGGTCTATAAGTATATTCTTATTGTGATATAAAATATATAGAATAGATTATCATTTTAAAATAAGTCATTTTTTAAAAATCGTCTGTCAGAAACTGTATTTTGCACTTTCCAAATGATTGGTCTCGTTTCCTTTGCTTTTCCCAAGACAAGTGTTTTATGGCTGGGCTTCACATTTTCAGTATTCTGTCAGCAGCTGAATGCTTTTAAGTAATTATGTAATTAAAAGTCCCTACTGTGAGTACAGAGCAGAAGGGAGAAATAGGTCGGGAAGCATTTTCACTTAAAGCATGTTATTAATAGTTAAGAATGGGGAATGGAAGGGAGAGCTTCTTCTAAAAATATATATATAAAGCCCAGGAATTTAAAGTAAGAAATTGTACAGTGAGATGGCTTTTTAAAAAGCCTGCTTGGTCATTGTGGTTTCATGGATCAGCCAGTACGCTCTGGCCGTTGCTTCCAGCCTCGGCAAGATAAACTGCAGGAGTTTTGTGTACTGGGCACTAAGTATGCATTCTCCTTGTATTTTGCTAATTCCCCATGCAAATTAATGCCAGTGCCCAAATATAGACCAACAATATTTTTCTGAGATATTTGTCTAAACTTCAAATTTTTAAAAAGAGATTAGTTAAACTTCTATGACATTATATTTTGAAAGTAACAGACTTGTACATGTAGAAATTGTTGAAATGGTATACCCTTTGCTGTGTTTATTTTCACCAAAAAAATAAAAACTGGGAAAAAAAAAATAACAGACTTTTAGGAGTTCCAAAAAAACCAAACCCACTGCTGTCGAGTTGATTCCAACTCATAGTGAACCTATGGGACAGAGTAGAACTGCTCCATAGGGTTTCCAAGGAGTGCCTGGTGGATTCAGACTGCTGACCTTTTGGTTAGCAGCCATACCTCTTAACCACTACGCCACCAGGGTACAGCAAGCAACTACTAATTTTCCACCTGGAAGGCTGAATCACCCGTACACACGTGCTCTCTACAAAAGTGCAAGATTTTATGTTAATATTCTTTTAGACTAAAAAAGCCTTAAATTTTATTTCAGTCTCTACTCCTGAGTGTTTGGCTTTCTAAGGAAAAAGATATTTTGGATAAACCACAGTCTGTCTGCTGTCTTCATACAATGCTGTCCCTCCTGAGCAAGATGAAAGGTAAAGTGCGGGTGCATGTTACAGTTCAGAGTGCTCGGGGTTTTATGCCGCTGCTGTTGGAAACAGCGTTTTGTGTTTGAAACACCACAGAGTCAGAGGGCAAAGATGGTTGCTCTTGGTAAGAGACTACTGTGTGCAAAACATTTGCCTGTAGAACTTTTTTCAAGTATTCATGAAAAGCTGTTGATGCATTCAGTGTGTGCTTTACTTGGTGAAAATTAAATTTGTAGTTTTTGTCAGCATCACAGATAATGGAATTTGAATGGAGCATTTTCTTAGTGAGGCGGATTGAATGGTCTTTGGTGGAGATAATACTTACTATTTTTGGCATCATTAGAAGAATAATCTGTTATATTAAAATAGTTCAAAGTAGTTTTCAGCAGTGATGAAGATATTATGAACAGGGATTTAAAATTGTTTCAGGAACATGATGACTAACACAGGATAAAGAAATGGAATATAAACATTCTGAATAAAACAGATCAGAGATTTGTTCTCTGATTCCTTCAGAAGTAAATACATCAATAGGGAATTTAGCTGTCAAACATTACATTTAACGTGAAGGATTGGGCAGAAAACATTGACAAGCTGAGAGCCGTACTTTCTCCTTTTCCCTTATCCGTGCAGTGGCCATCGATGAGACCTGGGACTCCCAGTCTGTGTCCCCTTGGTGGCAGCAGATGCGCACGGCGTGTATTCAGTCTGAGAACAGTGGAGCCGCCCTGTTATCTGCGCATGTTGGGCATTCTGTCGCGGCACAGCTATCGAACACTGTGACAGAGAAGAAAGTAGGTCGGCCAAGGGGCCGCTCTCCCCTCTGCCATCAGGTCCGCCAAGGGGCCGCTCTCCCCTCTGCCA